ATTGTTGTTGTTGTTGCATATCATCAATTTCTCGGCTGGCAAATAACGGAAAAAATTGTCAGTCCTTTGAGTGGTAGGTGAATTAAGGATTGAGAATCTCAACAAATTTCATTGCTTTAAGGCCTCAAAACCAACATAACGTTCGAAAAGCCAAAAGCGCAATACGAGAGACTATTTATACATAATTACGAATAAAAGATCCAACCTTATAAATAATTAATTCTATGTTGATTATGCAATTTGTTTAATTTTATAAATAAAATTAAAAAATATAAATTTTAGTTTGTTCCTATAGAGATTTGAGGGATTTTTCTCAATTTTTCTATTGATAAGATTTCATTTATATCAACTACTCATTTAAACTTTTATCAAAATTTTAATTCTTTATCTTCATATATTAAACTAACATAAATAATGATATGATATTTTTTATGTTTCAATTAACTTGTTAAAATATTAAAAAAGTTTCAATCAAATTTTATCCTTCAATCATATTAAAATTCATAAGAAATTTCAATCATGATCTGAACAGAAAATATATATATATTGTATTAGTATTATTAATTTTATTATAATAAACTTTACATTTTACACAATTAACATGTGTTTTATGTTTTTTTTTTTAAATGAGAATATAAAAAGACAATACTAAGTTATGTTATTATTATTTTTTTTAATTAAAAACTATGTTAGCTTGGTATTATATTGCTATAATTTTATTTATATTTTTCATGTATTAAAAGTTTATAAATTTGAGAAATATGAGATAAAAAATATATATAATCTTAATTTTAAAAAATAAGATAGTTAATATGATTGAGGAATGCATATACTCAATTGAGAATTTTTAAGAAGTCAATTAACATACAAAAATAGAAATTGAGAAACCCTCAAACTAATATATATATGTGTGTTCAAGCAAATGCATCCCATGTTAAGATAGATAATGATACCTAAAAGTTTATTTAATTAATCATAACACTGTAAAAAATTATTTGTTACAGGGAAGAAATATCACAATTTACAATGAGATAATCCCTCAAATCAATTCAATATTTTATGCAAGTACTTGTGCTAATAAACATAATACACTTGTGTCAAAAATACCAAAAATTAACAATTCTACAAAGTATTTATCCAGACAAAAACTAATATGCGCGCTAAAAAGAACAAATTAAAGAAAAAATTGGCTAGTTGAGATAATCGAATTCAGTTTTCTTTGTTTGACGGATCGATAGCTATATGTGAATATATGCCAGGACTGAAAGGGTAAATTATTGTTCCTAAAACATAAAAAAAATATATGATTAAATAATAAAAATTCATACAATAAATAAATAAATTTATTATAAACTACAATAGATAAAGAATTAGAATTTTTTTAACCCTGAACATTAGAAAAATTTAGAATTAAAATCATGTTATCAAGTTTCATGATATACAAATGATTGAATCATCAAAATAGTATTACACAAAATATTAATTTGACTGTCTCAAGGTGTAACTAGATTTGTTTTTAGATGATATGTACTATTTACAAAATTTATTTGATGTAACGGATCAAATATATGTTGCATGCGAGTGTCAAAGATACTATAAGTTCAGTCATCTTGTCGAGTGTTAATAAGTTTGTGCTGCTTGTAAGACTTAAGATTCAAAATATAATAGTATCACCCTTACTCGAAAATAGAACCAATAAAAATTATGTGGTTTTTAAGTGAGAGAGTAAAAAATTAGAATGAAGAATTATTTTTCTTTACTAAGCAAAAAAAGCAATGTTGCTTTGTATTTTTTTCTTTAGTAATAGTTTACAAAGTTTTTGTTATATTTAAATTATAAGGAAAAAAAAGATAATATTTATAGGTGACTTTTCTAACTATTATGAAACCCTTTTTTATCGTTTTAAAAATATATTTATTTTTTTTTCGTTTCTGACCATTATGAAATCGTTTTTTATTAGTATGAAAAGTAGTCATTTTTTGACTGTTGTAAAACGATTTTATATTTATAATAGTATAATGATGACTATTAATAATTTTGATCAAAATTATTATTATTATTATCAAAATATTCCAACATAAATGACGCAATTTAACCTCTTCTATTAAAACACAATATGCTATCAAATTAATTATAATATGAATTTTAAAAACCTCAAATATCAAAGTTAAAGTAGTAGCTAGTACTCGATGGATAAAAAAGAGAGACAATGAGAAACTTCAGTTGTAATTAATTAATAATCAAATGAAACAAACATAGGAGGAACTGCAAGGCAATTCCCTGTAGCCATAGTTTTTTTTTTTTTTTTAATTCTTATACATAGCACACGTCCAAAATTTTTAACAAAGCTAATATGTTGTAATTTAAATTCATGATTTTTTATAAAAAATTACTATCATTTAATTATAAGCTATTTGATTGTAGCTATACTACTCAAGACACGCATAAAAACTTATCTCATCTAATTAATTAGTAATATTGTTTTTGTTATTATTTATGCTTAACCATCAAAACAAATCTTTCTACACACGTACATATATATATATAAAAAAAAAAACAATTAAGAAAACAGCAACATAATTGCAACCCCCACAGTTGTCACATCGCCGGGGTACCCACATATAAATTAATATATTTTTTCTTTATTTTTCTACCTTTTTTAGAATGCGACAAAATTAATAATATCAAAATTCGTACAAAGAGGCCCTGTTAGTCATGCATCTCCCACCGTACATTTGAAAAATAATAATCGGTTTGAATTAATTTTTGAGCTATTGATCTCTCTTTTAATTAAATGTGCTAAGATATATGTTTTTTTTTCTCCCGACAATTAAAAGTATTTTTGTACCAATTTATACATTATTAGAAGTTTTTTTTTTCCAAATGATTTTAAGAATATATTTTCTATCAACATGTGCATTTTTAACTTTTGATTTTTTATCAATCGAGTATATGAATTTTAATTTTTTATTTGATTATATAATTTTTTTAAAATTATCAATCAAGTATTGTTGTTGATTTTTTCATTAAATGATAGCACGTTTATTACCATTTGAATACCAAATTATAATTTTACCTTTTTGTTGTCAATTAAATACATGAATTTTAATTTTTTTTCCTTTTTGAGTATAGCTATTTTTTCAAAATTATAAATCAAATATTTTTGTTAACTGATGATATGTTTAAATATCAATTTTTTTCCTTCTTTTTGTTGCAAGGAACGCTCCCTCTATATTATTCTACCATTTTAAAAATTGTAAAAAAAAATTTTTAATTATTTTTTGGCCTTAAAATCTAATTAAGAAGAAATTTTATAATATACAAGGAGTAATTAGTGACATGTACAGTAGTTACTCAATGAACTCACGTTGAAGAGAGATAGAAAAAAAGAGAGAGAAACAAGAGAGAAAAATTTAAAAAAATTGAGCGTACATGAAAATTTTTTTTATTACTTTTGATAGGTCCGAGATGTAATTTAATATGTCTATCTCTCTCCTCAAAATGGATCTATGGAGTGACTACTATATATGTCACTAACTACTCTTTCGTATTATAAAATTTATCGGGTTTTTAGCATTAAAGTTAGAGAAACCCAATTGTAAGATTTTTTTTCTACCATTCTTTTTTCTTCCTAGTATGGATTGGGACTTGAAGAGGGATGATAACGAGTCGAGCATAAAATAAGTATCCGCTTTTTTCAACCTAATAAATACCTATTAAAAATATCTAATGGGTATTAAAGTAGATAAAAATAAAAATAAAAATTACATATTCATTAATATAGTTTAGGATGTGGAGTACCCATTTCTTATCCTATTAATACCCACTAATTTATTTTAATTTTTTTTTAAAAAATATATAGGGATCTAATTTCATAAATTTTAAAAAATAAGGACCAAAATAGTTTTTTAAAAACTTTGAAAATCGAAATAACTTTAAAAAACGACCAAAATGTAAAAATAAATAAATAAATTTTAAGGATTAAAAAAAACTTTTTTTTGGAAATTACAAGGATTAAAATGTAATATTTTTGATAACTTATTTTTAACCGTATTAAACGGATAGATAAAATGATACGGATCGACTAAATAAAGATTTATATGATGATTTTTTAATAGATAATAAATAAGGTATTCTTTTTATGGACATGATAAAAAATTAAATTAATAAGCCGAATTTTGGTTCATTGCCATATCTAGACCTGAAGTAACAATGCATTACATAAGCCCAATAATAGCTAAAAGTAAAGCCCACATAAACTTATAAGCCCAAAAAATATATGGATTGATCCAGAATATAGTAATCTGGGAAGCAAGTGGGCCACATTTCAATAACAGCAAGAGGGATCTGTTTCCCAGAGAGATCAATAAACGCTGAGACAGCATACTAAATTTAGAAAAAAATTTAGTTATGCAATTATATTGCTCCACGTCAGATATGATCCCATCTTAATTTATGAAATGGAAGTAAGCTGATATGATGTTCTATATCCACAGGCCAATTTGTATTTTGACTAATTTTATGTAGTAAAAAAATTCCAATTTTCCTTGTTTAGTATTTGCTTTTCGCACCTAACGGTGGAACATGAGAGAGATTTAGAAGGGGCCAAATTAAAAACATCATATAATATTATTATCATCAGTATTACTATTATTATTATTATTATTATTTTGGTTCAGGCTATCCTCAAACCAGTACCAAGTAACAAAAACCTGTATTGATCCCAAGTCCCCAACCATGTATGGCTCCTTCTGCCATCTATTCTAGTTTATGTGCATATATAGTTTTTTGCTAGCAACCTCAAATGACTGTAAGATAAAATAGATCAGCTCTTAAAATGCATAAGCTGTAGGCAGAGATAAGTTTTGAACTAATGATAAATTTATTGTTTAATACACCATTTAACCCACATAAAGACTTAAATATTTAGAGGCCATTTAACCATTCTGCCCCCTGAACATTTTTGCTGAACAACAACTTGTACCAAGCAATTTCTTCCATTAGAAGCCATTTTCTTCTTGCACCCCAATCAAAGCTTTCTGCAATATTAAAATGGGGAGAAAATATTGCAAGTTTCAGTTTTTGAATAACCACCATTATGCAGTAGAAATGGAGAGAGAGTGACATCAATTACCTTAAAGCATGAGAGTGTATACTGCACATCGCTTGCTGAAATTTGGTGGTGAAGAACAACCCTTATGCTGAAAGAGGTAAAAAAGAACAATAAATCAACATTCGATGGCTATATATACATCTTCAAGGACCATAACTTTAAAATTCAGTATGGTTACTGGTATAAATAACAGTTGTGAATTCGTGCAGCGCAACACTACACTAAATGAAATGGGATGTTCTCATTTTATTTGGTTCTTTAGCTACATTCATGGATGTATTTGGGGTTTAGACACACCTGATTGGACTCTCTTGCATTAAAAGTACACCATGCTGTTCCAAGTTCTTGCATAGCTTTTCTGCAGTGAGTTTTGCTCCCTCTACCACGTCGAAAAATATCTGGTAAAAAAAAAATATATATATATACAAATGAGTGTAAATGAAAACCGTTAACGACTACTGGTAGAGATATATACAAGAAAGAGATTTTCTCGTATTCGTTCATAATTTTTGTGAAACTATGGAAAACTACTCAATAAAACAAAGGCCAAAAAAATAAGAATACAAATGATTATATTTTTAAGAAGTCTGGCTGGATTAAATACGAAATAAAAGAAATTTACACATGATGAATTGCAGAAACATTCATTTCCACGCTCTAGAACTTTGGTAAGAAAGATACTTACAATATTGGTTTCCACTGCAGCAACATTCACCCTTAGTCCTTTAATTTGATTCAGCCCCTCTATTGAAGTTAAATAAAAAAGATATTCACTTAATTTGCTGGGAAAAAAATGGGAGTAACTCAATATTGCAAACCAACGGAAGGGAAAGGCCGGAAAAAATGGCATATATAAATAGCTAGACCATGTACCTGCTAGCATCTTAGCTTTCTTGTGATCATCCTCAAGCTTTGCAACATTTTCTTGTACAGCAACTAAAGCAGCAGCACAAAGGATACCGACTTGTCTCATTCCCCCTCCTAAGGTTTTCCTGAGGATTCTAGCCTAAAGAGAACATATACAGATATAAGAGTTTCGAGACAATATCTGCCAGAAAACAAAGTAGCTGGTGTTCTTCCTCGGTGTAGAATTTCATCCCTACCTTTGCAATAAAGCTTTTGGAACCAACAATGACAGAGCCGACTGGTGCACCTAAACCTTTTGATAGACACACCTGGTTCCAAATTTTGAGTACATGAAGGAATAGAATTCGTTAATCGAACATATATTATTTGAGAAAGAAAGTGACTATTAGTTTCTTGGCCACATAATCATACCGAAACTGAATCCGCAGCCTGTACAAGCCTACTAACTGGAACTCCAAGTGCCTGAGAGATCAAACGTTTAGAATCAGATACTGAAACTGTTGCTTGTGTATGCTTTTTCACTTCCGAAAGAAATGAATGATAGAGCAATGTATGCTCCAGCTTACTACTGTACATTCATAAATAAGCATATTGAAAATTCATTTACTCACAACTGATGCATTAAAAATGCGAGCCCCATCAATGTGAATCTTCAAACCATGCTTTTTAGCTAATTCTCCAACTCTGTCAGTATATTCTACAGACAAGCATCTACCACCGCAGCTGCATTAATTAGAAATCACGACATAAGGCATAACAGTTGAATTAAATAAGTTGAAGACGCCAAAAACCAAAAAATAGTTGAATCACTTTCCAATAATACCAAAATTTCAGAAAATTGAAAAATAGGAAAATCAAACAATCCATAAATACAATGCAATCATCTTTTATGCAATAGTACTATGATGTAAACACAAAATGATCCTTGCAAATTGTTTGAGAAAACTCAGAATTCCTAGGTGCAGAATCATTATAAGCATAAAACAGAACAAAATAAGTTATTATATTTCTCATACATATATTCACACTTCTGAGAGGGTTGCATCATGAAAATATTCACTGTTAATCGAATAACATTTGCAATGAAAAGAGCATTTATATTTCCAAATTGAAATGCAGAGTCGATTTAGTCTCGGACATAACCTTGTTACATAGAATTGTCAAGAGTAAAAGCATCATCCTCTGCTTAAAAAAGTAAATAAATAAACCAACAAACATCTCAGCAGTAGCCATGCAAATCAGTATTAACTCAATTCAACAAAAAATCCAAATCTAAGTAACTATAGAAGCAACAGCAGAGCACTTGAATTCACTAAAACAATCCTGATGCTCCATTTAGTTTTGAAGTCACACAATTGTTTTTACTTTCCTTTAATAGTTCTTTCAAATCCAATCTTAAATGGGAAATTCTCTGTTAAAAAAATAAATCCACCCAGTTGAACTATTAAGAAGTTTCATTTATTGTACGATTCGTAGAAGTTACCGACAACCGTTGCAGATGGCAAACCTAATTATCAGAAGCAGTCCACCTAGCATAAGACTAATTAAGCAAAAGGAAAGTGAAAACAGAAGCAGTATTAAAACAAATCTACCAACTGTCCCACCCAGGAAATTACAAGGGGTGAAGTTCAGTCCACCTTTTTTAGTTCTGCAGTGATACAATCAATGTGGTCCTCACATGCAAGTGAAGTGAAAGGTGATCCCAATAAAATACATCAAGGAATATGCCAACACTAAAATATGAAATCAGCTTCCCAAGCCACAAAAAGGTTATTATAATACAAAATCCAAGCCCTCTGAAACAAGTGGTATAAACCACTGTGCAATATAAAATAGTTACTCCATCAAAATGATTTAATATCAAGGAAGAATAAAAAATACTCACTTGGCTTGTGAATTCTCCAAACAGATAAGCCTGGTAGTTGGATACACAATCTCCCCTCTTGGATCTCTAATTGCAGCTTCAATTAAATCAATATCCATCGTTCCATCCTCATTATTCTTCACAGTTCGAGGATGGACGCCTCCGATTGTTGAGATGCCTCCATTCTCATAAATATGGATATGAGAATTATTTCCAAGTATTACCTCACTTCCCCTAATGTTACAATGCACAAGCACGCTAATAAGGTTACCCATGGTGCCTGATGGAACAAACAGAGCTGCCTCCTTGCCCAAGATTTTCGCCATTTCAGTCTCTAACCGTAAAGCACTTGGGTCATAACCCAAAACATCATCATCAACCTCAGCATTTGCCATAGCAACCCTCATTGCTTCAGTTGGTTTGGTGACTGTGTCAGACCGAAGATCAACCGTTCTAGTCACCATTCTTACTAAAAAGTACAATGTGAAAAAAAAAAAAGAAAAAAAATCAGTCTATGCTCCAAAATTCATACCTTCACATACATACATCTACGAAAGGTGAAAACATGACTTCAAATGAATAATTCCAAATCGATTGACTCTTACAGTATGGATTTTCTGCAACCATTTTGGTTGATCCACAAAAATGGCCTTGTAACAGTTAAGAAAGTTTGAAAATATAAAGCAATGGTTACAATTGTCTATTTTTAAGCCAAATAATAATAATAAAAATAAAACTTCACCACAAAACTCACAAGTCGTGACAATTTCTGTACTCTAGCAGTAAGTTTTACAAGAACATAAAAACTAAGGCTTAAATGAAAACAATTTAGAACTTTGTTTGATTCAGAAACCAAAGTCAACTAAATTGAGCCTTGATATATCGTAGTCACTGATAATATTGTTGAGTTGCTATCAAAGCAAAAACTGTGAGGGCTCAGCACAGCGAGTCCAACGCACCTTGAACTAGTCTTAAGAAAATTAGAGAAATTTTAGCTAAAACCCAGTGAAGAATTTGACTCTGTATATGAAAAGGCGGAGAGAGAGAGAGAGAGAGTGGACTACCTGTGCAAGTTCTTTTTTTGTTTTTAACCCAAAAAATTGCAACTTCGATACTGATATCAAGAAAGTTTCTCAATTGAACTGATTGCCCACTTCCTTAAATTCTGCACACACATGCAGGAAACATGAGAATTTCAACAGAAATTACTTGTATTATATAGTCTAATCAGGATTGTTTATATTTATAAGCTCAGAGAAGCCAACTTTAACTGGCATGTCAGCAAGAACAGACCAAAAGCAAAATCAAAACCCACATAATTACCAGTAAATCAATTCTGTAATCTTTGAATTATAACACTTCACAGCACAAAAAGATAACTTTATAAGCACCTAAACTCTAATTTTCATTCAAGAAAGTTTAAGCTCAAAAGAAACTCTTTCATTTAGCTGAAAATTCAGAGAGTCTTATAGCTCAAAGAAACCATCACAAGTCATGCAAGTCGTCTTTAGATATTTATGTATTTCAACAAAATTCCAAGAAAACCAACCTAACCCGCCGGCCACTCAAATATATGAAACAAACCCTCTACTAGTTGACATATAATTAAAAGAAACCTGGAGGTTAGATAACCATGAAAGTCTTTTAAAACTTGCAGAAATCTTGAATAAATGTCCAAAAAAAAACCTAACCAGAATATTATAGAGTAGGGGTATCCTATGGGAGAGTGAGTGTGCTCCCAATCTAGCTAACTTGTCCGCTTTGGGACAGAAATTCATTGCATGTCATGCAGTGTCGAAAACCTCCTAAATAAGTTAAAAAGTTGAGGAATCACAAGATAAGCCTGCATCAGCAGTTGGTGATAGCATGCAATCCTCTAGAAATGACAGGAAAAACAACTTCTTTTTCTTTCTTTTCTATTTTTTTTTCTCCTTTTCTTTTGCTTTCTTGAAATCTACTAAAATAAAATAAAGGGTGAATGACAAGGTAAAACTGTACCAACAGTTTGTGTTGGAACGCAAGTATGTCATCCACCAGAAATGACAATTAAGGTAGTTTCCTGTATGCTTCTTACAATTTGTGTTTGTTTCTGCCTTTAATAGCTTATATGGTAAACCAAAAGTACTCTTCGTCACGGAATAAATTCTAATGGCTTAAATAAAGGGTTCTGATTATGATTTTATCGTATACGTAAAAAAACTTTTACTTAAATAAATGATTTTAATTTTGAGTTATCATATAGGCAAAAAAATTTCTAAAGTTAATGTACTCATTTTATACATTCGATTAGTCTAAGTTTTTAAATCTAAAATATTTTGAAAAAAAAAACTTATATAATCAAATCACGTAACCTAATTATCCTTTTATCTAAAATTATTATTGGAATAGGATTCATTAATGCAGTTATAATTATTTTTTAATTACACTAGTTTGAAGGTAATTTGGTCTAAAAATAATTTAGTGTACGCAAAAACTTTTGCTTAAATAAATTATTTCAGTGTTGAGTTATCGTCTATGTAAAAAATTTTCTTAATAATTGTATTCATTTTATACGTTCGACTAAGTAATTAAAGATTAATTTGGACTTTTGAATTTGAAATACCTAAAAAAAATTATATAATCAAATCACGCAACCTAATTATTCTTTTATCTAAGATTATTATTGGAATGGGATTTGTTAATGTAGTTATAATTATTTTTTAATTGTACTATTTTTGAGCTAATTTGGTCTTAAAAAATAGTTTAATAGTTTAACAAAAACTAAACGTATTCTGACACTAAATATTTTTTTTTAATTTTTTTAACTATCATATTTAAATCTCAGGTCATATGATGTAAAAAGTAAAATTCTCGTTAGTCATTTTAATCCCAACATAAATAACATGCTTTTGACTGAACCGAAAAAGTGAACTAATTAATTAATTTTGGTGTGGAAAAACTAAACCAAAATCACCTTGACCCAAAAAAAAATCCTAATTATTGTCGGTACCATTAAATTTAAGTTAGTGGACTAATTCAATTATTTAGTTTGGTTTTTCTTTAAAGGTGGAAGGATGAAAACATTCTTTGAAACGCTGCTGGCGGCTTCACTTTTCAAAAGGAAATTTTATTTGGGCTTCCCATCTACTAGGAATCAAATTAGCCGCCTCTCTCTCTAAAAGATTGACCATCTTTCTTCAAGTGATACAGAAAATGTTTTCTTCATGTGTCAATAGCTTTTGAAAATGCATTTTTAACTCCTTTGTAGTTCAGAGTTAAGCTAGTTTTTATCTATATTTTTAAGAGCGATATATATTTGTAAAAAACCACCAACTTTACAATTTTTTTTTTTTTGAAATTTTGGTTATTTTTAAACTATGTGATTTTAATGTAATTGTGCTGAAAATTTCAGTAACTTACAAGAGATTTTGATATAAATCACTCAAAAAAAAAAAAAAAACCTTAATATGGGTTTTTAAATTGAACTGATTCTTTGACAGCGTAGCATGTTAGTAACTAAAAAAACTAAAAAAATTGTTTTCCTTTTCAATATGTCAATAGCTTTATGTTCCCAGCCAACATTTTACGGTTTAGTGCCATTTGTTAAGCTATTGCAATCCCCAGTATACATATATATATATTTCTGACCGAAAATAAAATTAGCATGTAGTTTACTTACCTATCATCTTCATCTTTTCAATGTTGGGACTATGACATTAAATAAGCGACAACCTGACCCAAAACTCATAATAACTTTATTTCCTACATAGGATTCGGCCCATCTAGATATCATCAAACCAGGCTTTAAAGTTATTGTCAATCTTAAGACAGCTTAGCCCAAGTTAGGATACAACCTCATTAGGAAAGTCGCAGTCAAAGATATGAGATTTCTACTAAGAGACTCTAAGTTTAAATCTTAAAATAAATAGAGAGAGAGGCTACCTTGTTTTTATAGTCTTAAATTCGTGGATAGGGTTGTAAAAACAATCACGACTATGATTACAGATTATAATAGCAAAATAACAATCTGATATTATAAATGTATTAACAATTGTTAATAAATTTATTTTAATTTATATTTTTAATATTTTTAGTAATTAAGTATAATAAATTAATAATATTTTTAATAATTTAATATTACACAATAATAGTTGAATTTATTAAAAAAAAAAGTTAACAACACTTTTAATAGTTTAATATCATATAAAATAAATAAATACATTGTAACTTCAAGATACATGTTAATTTTTTTAAAAAATATAGCTATTAATAAATATTAAATAGGAATAATAATGACGTTATATAACGATAACAATTGCTACCACTACTATTTATATGAAACGAAATTAATGTTCTTATAGTGATGAATAATAATAAAAAAATATATTTAATACTCTTAAATAATAATCGTTACATTATATAATAACTGTTATTTCAAATTATGCTCATTGCATATTATGTAGACTCTTTTATTTAACAAAATAAATGCTAAAAATATCAACTAAGAAAATATTCTAAGAAAGGGAACGTGATTGGGCAAATCACACCAACCTTTCACAGAAAAGATACCATTTTGATAATGATAAAAAAACCTTTTGGATTCTATTACTTTTTTTAAGACCCTATAAAGATCCAAGTACCTAAAAGTTCACCAATCGCACTCAATCATGGCCAAGAATAATGCATCACATAAAGTTAGAAAGGGCACCAATTGTAACCATGCTTATTTGCCTTAACGTCTTGTGCCAAATTAATTTGTCTGGAAGTGTACTGTTGCATCATGGTAAGCCCAAAACACTTTAAAAAGCCTACCTAACCTAATAATATTATACAACATAATGGGAAAGGTTCTACCAATAATGGCATATAAAAAACGACAAGCATACCTGCATTATATTACCCAACCGTTACTGATTGGTATGCTATTGCAAGAGTATACAACTTAATAATAAAACAATTAAAAAGAAAAAGACCAAATCCCCCACCCCTACTCCATCTCCACCACTTCTCTCATTCCATGGAAATTACAAGAACCAATTTTCTATCCATACGGAGAAGATCCATTTCTCTGTCTTCCCTTCTCTAGCTGACTAGGGTAGGGAAAAATTTTCACCTAGCACGAACCCAAATTTATTATCAACAATTGTTTGACTAAGCTGATTGGAAGTTTTGAAGACTATTTACGAGAAACGTGATTTGCAGGATAGTTTGTCAAATCAAACCTGGGAATATGAATGGATTACAGGAAATGAAGAGACAAGCGAAGTACGTCTTTGTGCTCGATAAAACAGTTAGTTGGACGACAATCGGTTTGTCTTGTTGGGTAGCGGCACGAAAAAAAAAGGAAAAAAAAAACAAGAACAGAGGAAAAAAAAACTCAAGAATCTCAGATTGCTAATAAGTTCAAAGACCATTGAATCTTTCGATTTCCGGCATGAAAATATATAAATGCACACTTTTTTTTCTTTATCACCGCATAGGCAAGGGGTAACAGATTCGACCAATTTGGTCTTGAATTTGGGACATGAGAGGATGAAAATTTGGATGGTGAAATTATGGTTTGGGTTTGAGAGATTTTGGAGATTTTTTTGAGAGAGAGAGAGAGAGAGAGAGAGATGGAGAATAAAGAGAGAACGGTTTTTTTCTGAAGGAAACGTAATAGGGTTGGGAAATAAAGATGTGGCTGGTATTCTGACAGAGGATCCTTGCTTTTGGGCAAAAGTGGAGGAAGCTCTAATTTCATGCAAAATGTTGAAGGCCGGAACCTCAAGTGCTGCGAGAAGTCCAGAAAGGTTAGGAAGAAGAGAGAAACATGAGAGAGCGAGTCAATTTTTGACCAAAAAAAAAAAGATTGAAATAATTGGGAAGGAGGTTTTGGTCTTTTCATTTTTTGTTTTTTATTTTATTTTTCATTTTATTATTAAAATATTTTTAAGAATAAATTCTTAATTCATCAATAAATTTTTAAGAATTAAGAAAAAATAAAAAATCTCAATTATAAAAAATTCAAAAAAATACTGAGACTAAATATGAGATAAACCATGAATATATTAACAATTACAAACCTGCTAATACATTCACTACAACGATTGCATTGCTAGCATCTGCAATTTAAAACTACACATGGACCTAATAGAAACGATAAGAGATGGTTTGAGCCACAAGTCGTATTTGCAATAGAACTTCAATATTTAGAAACCCACATGAACTCCAAATGGTAAAATTCACAAAACCTTGAAAGCAGAAACCGATGCCATAACAAACCACTGCAATAAGAAATTTAGCTCCAGGCCACCGTTATTCAAGCTCGTCACAGAGTATCTGCCTTTACGCATCTCTCAACAACATCTAAATTATGGCAAAAACATTGAGAAAAAATCCCGATCAATGGGGCACAAGTACACAGCCAAGATAAGTTCAAACAGACCAGGGTCTGGCAAACAGAATCATGGCCTCAGCTACTATCATTGATTCATTACAAAATCTCTCATCCATTAATTGAATACTCAACACAGGAGACCTGAGTACAGTATATATCCTTCATAAATATAAAGGTTCCTCAACCTAGTAACAGTTACACCGAACGGTACATGCAACCAGATTAGTTCTTTACCTGGTTCTTTTGGTAATTCAAAATAGAACGAAATGATGGGCTTCCATGTCCAGTTCTGGTAAAAACATGAAAGGCAAAGGCAAACTACCCTATTAACCACTGCAACAATAACCATACCATCATCGGGCAGGGAAACAAGGGATTAACCTTTGGAGCTGTGCTTCATTCGTTCACAGAAATTATCAAAGAATAGAGGAATAATTTCATAGGTTCTTCAGCAGTCTCTCCCTTGAGGAACAATTAGGACACTTTACCCATCCAATTCTGAACTCAACTATTCAGAGTTAGTAAGATCCACCTCCATGACAGGCAATTTTCCTTCATCCTTCATTTGATTTACTTTGTCATCTCTGCCACTGGAAACCTGCATCACATCAGCATTGGCATAGCCATCAACTCTTTCTTGGATACTCTCTTCTTCAATGGCAGCTGAGCTGTCCTTCATAACTTCTGTGCTCATAACATCATCACCAGCATCCCCATCAACAGAATTATCATTCACCTTATTCTCCACTGCAACGCCAACATTAGATATAATATCTCCTCTGTTTATCGAGTCCTCTGTTGGAAATGGAACTCCATTTTGGTCATCTCCATCCGAACCAGAGGGATAAGTACCAGAAGCTTCATGGCCGTTACCTTGTACAAGTGTTGTCTGCACCTCATTAGATGACACATTGTTGGTCAAGCTTGCATCTGTGGCCAATGCACTGTGCACCTTCTCTGATTCAACATCCATTTGCTGCTCCGAAACTTTTTCATCAGAAGGCACATTGTTAGTCAAGCTTGCATCTGTGGCCAGTGCACTGTGCACCTTCTCTGATTCAACATCCAATTGCTGCTCTGAAACTTTTTCATCAGATGAATCAACTGGCATAGAGCTTCCAAGTTCATCTGAAGGCATAGGCTCAGAAGGTTTTGCGTCCAGCATGGCAGCTTGCTTTGCTGCAGCTTCGGCCAACTCAAGTGCACGATTCTTTGCAGCGATTTCTTCTTGTTGTATTGCTAGAGCCCGATAATTAATGATGAGCTGTTGTATCCTTTCAAGCTCAGCCACAAGATCTCCGTATCTCCTTTGCAAAGTTTGCTCTAGCTCCTTCTGCTTCTGAACTTCCTCCCAAAGACCATTGATCCTGTGTGATGCTGCTAATTGCTCTTGCCTCTGCAAAGCTTGGAAGCACTCTAGTTCTGTTCCAGCAGTGTCCATCTGCTTTAAGGTCAACTCAATTGGTGGCAAAATCTGCCTGTCTGCCCGCATCTGATCATTCAAAAATCAGCAATTTAGTAACCTAAGAATTATGATCTTCACAATCTCTATGGTTGAATGGGAAAAACATGTCATACTAGACATCAGTATTTTTGGGTTCTAAAGATCAGCAAATCTACAGATTTACTGCAAAAGTTCCCTGAATTTGGCTTCCAGCCTTTCCTCTGCAGCTTAGGTGAAAGGTGAAGACGGCACCTACCACCTTGCATCTCTCTACTCGTATAACATAGCATTTGAGAGCCATGACCACATTTTGCACTCACAGCTAACATACAAAATCTACTTTAACAGGTTCCAATAGCTAAGATTTATTATATTAAGTAGGACCAATGCCTTAAATTCAAATTAAAATGAAATTTATCCAAGGAATCTCTTTCTTGGGATTTGCATTTTCAGGGATATATACCCAAAACTGAAGGGAAAAAAAGAAGAAAAAAAAGCATGATATTGCAGGAAATTATATTGCATTAGATATCTTAATATAGAGAGCATTAGAGAGCCATGACCACATTTTATGCTTAAAGCTAACATACAACTCTCCTTCTATAGGTTCTAATAGCTAACATTTTATTTCTTATATCGAGAAAAAGAAAGGGACAAAATGCGAAAAAACAGAGAAAATGAAAGCACGATATCAGAGGAAGATGTATTGCATTCGAGATCTTAACACAGAGATGGCACTACAGAAGAAGATGGATTTGACAATAAAGCAACTGCCAAAGTTATTAGTTTGAACCTATGGAACTCATGACAAAATAATCAAATAATCGCACAGCAAATTTTTGTGGCACCATCAACAGGCCATAACTATATTCTGCAACAAAGATAAAATGCAACACTCTTTTGGTGTGCTCTTTGAGATCATCAAATTCAGTGACCATAAATTCATAAAACATCAATTTGGACAAACATAGAACATGCAGGAACTGAGAACTGGAAAAAAATATGGTGGAAACCCAAATAAAAAGAAACAAATACTAGTTAACACAGTAATTTACTAATTAACTGGAAAAAATAAAAGTTCTTATAATTTTCTACAAGAGAGAAAATCATGACGAGTTGCACGTCAAAAGGAAGGAAAATAACAACATAAGGAGTGGCAGTAATATACAGTATGCATAAAGTCCCAACAAAGAACCAGTTGTTGTAGCACACATCATACCTGATAACCTTGTGTGAGAACATTGACCTTCTTCTCAAGCCGTAATGCCTTCTCCCTTTCAACATCTAACCTTGTTTTCACATTCTCAAATTCATTCTGCAATGCTGCAAGTTTCTCCATGTTTCCAGCAACACTGGAGAGTCCATAAGCGTTGCGAGTGGGGAAGTACATGAGGTCATTCATGCATGTTTTGTGTGCTTCAACAAATTCATCAAGGGATTCATCTTCATGCCCCATAGCTACACGTATGTACTGAGCTTCCTCTTTTATCAAAGTATCAGCCTCCAAAGAAGAATGTGATCATCAGTCAGTAGGATAATGGACACTCACCCTTCATTAACCTTATTACACATGCTTATAAGGTCTTCTATATGCATTTTTGAATATTACAAATAACATTAGAATACAAAAGCAAAGGAACATCAAGCAGACTAGCCTATCTTCCGATATCAAATACATATCCAACACACATTGCAAAGTATTACCTCCATATGTGTATCTCAAGATGAAAAAATAAAAAAAATAAAACTACAACAAGATACAACAATGAGAAAGAGCATAAATGGAAATCAGTGAATATATGGGTTAGAAGATACACAACAAATCCATCCATGTTGACATGCAGGTAGAAATGCTCACACATTCACCCATAGTAAATAGGTTCTGGACCACATAGGTGTTGCATAACTCATAAGAGTGATTTGTTAGTAACTTCTGGCACATCGTCTCCAAGGAAGGAATTGCCAATGATTAAAACGTAGAAGTGTAAACTATGATGTACACAACATAAAGCAAGCTAAATACTCTTAGATACCAATCTTTCTCTGACTTCTTAAACTTTTTACTCGTCAATGATCAGCCTCAAGGTCACTCATTTCCTAATCTTCAGCTCTTGATGAGCCTCGACATTGCTCAAGGTTAAATAATAGAAAGTGAGACAAGATCTTACAAAATTTAGCATGTAAAAAAGGTTTGGCCTTTTGGAAGACAAAATTTGAAAGAAAAAAGAATATGGTTTTAAATAAGGATGGAGTTGGAAAAAAAAGAGGCTTTCCATTACTGAGCGCTCCTGACTGGATCAGGTAATTGAATTGATTAAGAAACATGCATTTAATCAGTTGATTTGTTAGTGAACACGGAAAAATATCATCTAGAAGGGTGAATAGATTGACTTTAAAACAACAATTATTAATTACTATTGCTATAAAACAAGCTCGTATTTTATCTTTATTGTTTTTTCTTAATAATGAAAGACAATTTGAAAAAATTTGAGTTGGTTGCATTGGGGAATCGAATTGATTAAGAAACATGAGTTTAATTAGTCAATTTATTAGTGAACAAGGAAAAATATTATCTATATGAGTAAATAGATTGATTTTAATAGACCAACGATTAATTACTATTGTTATAAAACAAGCTCGTATTTTATCTTCATTGCCTTTTCTTAATAGTGAAGGACAATTTGGGTAAAAAAAAAAAGAATTGGTAGCTAGAAATACAGGTCTTAGAACCAGATGAAAATACGCTTACTCTTCAATTGCATCAAAATTCCAATCCGAACTCAAAATTAGGTTGGTGAAGGTTGAGTTTCCTTATGGGCAGTAAGCCAGCCATCCCCTTTCATTTCTTATACTTTTGATCCTGTTAAAGTGCTAGGACAAGTCAGCCTAACTTCACTCTATAGGAGCTTTCCATTGAAAGGAAGCCGGTAGGTAGCATGCCTAAGGGACAAGGAAGACAGAAATTCACTGGGGCCGCAAACCTGTTTATTCCACCTATGCTTATCTTATGTTATGTCTAGCCTAGACTTACAAGGATACGCCCTGCTAGTAGGAGTCTTAATTCTCATAATCCTTACTATGCTGTTATCCCTTTTCAAGGACCTAGTCAATTTAGGTAGGGTTCTTATTTCATAAGGGAAGAAAAACTAAGGCACCTAACCTATAACCTAGCCCTACAAGGGAAATCTTACAAGAAGCTCTTACACATGTTATAGATGCTTATAAGATTATTAAACCAGTTAAATCCTGCTAAGTTGAGGTTCTGATACTTATTAATGAAATTTAAAATATAAACATGTATATATATGTATATATTCAGAAGGTGTAACCCTCAGGCTACAAAAGGGGGAGAAACTTCCATGTACAACAAAAGTAACCCTGGAAAGTTTTCCTAGATATAATTATCTTCAAAGAATCAAAAGGTATAGGAAATATGAATAACAAACATTAAAACATGGTATTCGTGCAGCTACATTGATGAATGACACGGTACTGACAAGGAGCTAGTCCATAATCAACTAAATCAAGCACGAGCATACAGGGTCATACGCACACAAACAAACAAACAAAATAAAGACATCAAAAATGACCACAGAAGCGATGATAAAATCATGAAGAAGAAGAAAACGTGATTTAGCAAGGATGTCAAAAAACACATACTTGTTTCATCTCAACTTCTTCAAAGTCCTCTATCACAGGGATAGAAGCAGCAGATCTCTTTGAAGGGTGCTTGGAGCCTTTCTTCTTCTCCTTGCTTGCCTTCTCTTCAAGTGGATACTTTGCATTATCATGCTCTAGTAAGGCTAGAAGCTCCTTTCTTATCATTTCATCAGCCTGTTCAATTAATGTAGGAGGAACAAAGGAACTCTTATCCCCATCAGCTTTCAGCAAAGAATCTCTAATTAATTCCAATGAAGCAACAGGAGGCCGAGGAAGTTCCCTTTGCAGTACTTTCGATCTCTTCCTAAGTAATGCCTGCTGTCGAGCTTCTTCTGCAGCTTTTTCTCTCGCTATTCTATCAGACATATCCTCTTCAATCTTCTCCTCTGGTTCTTCATTGTCTTCTGGAGGCGGTTGGATGACTATCTGGTATTCATTCTTGGGCTGTGGAAGACTGCCAAGACCAGAACGCAGATTCTTTCTCAGATCAGCCTGTCTTCGTTGCTCAAGTTTTGCACTGTCATGCATATCCATATCTTCATTTATATGGAGTTCATCCCTGATAGGAGTTCCTTTCGGGGTCATCCCAAAAGAATCCCTTGATGGTGTCATACCAATTCTGGGAGTAAGACCAACACCGCCAGGAGTTGCAGAAGGAGTTGCAGAAGGAGTTGAGGAAGGAGTCAGAATTGGGTTTGGTGTTTGAATCTCCCGTTTCTTAGGGGTAACTCCAGAAAAATCTGAAGGGTGCAACTCTGGATTTTCTCCTCCTAGTAACGGTGTTTGTGACTCTCTCATCCGGGCTAGGTTTTCAGCTTCCATCATTATAGCGTCACCCTTACCAGCAGGAGTTCTTTGCGGGGTTCGTAGTGGTGTCATTCCTTGTCGTGGTGTTTGGGCATAGTTTGCTAAAAGAGCACGTGTTGCACCACTCCCTTCAGTGATTTCCTCACTTCCTGCAAGAAGATCGCTAGCATAACCCATCTTCGCAATTTCCTCCAATTCATGATCTGAAATCTGTGGTGCAGGAAGCATTAATTTTGACCTCTTCCTTACTGTTTCTGGGTCATTCAGCTTGTTTGCTTGCAGTATAGCTGACGGAGCATCTTGCCTTTGAGCAATTTTATTCTTCGCAATGTCTTGCTTTCTTAACTGTGCTTCAACATCCATCCTTTTTTTCCCTTCAATTTCTTCAATGGTGGTCGGGAACTTAGGCTGATCCACAGGCCTATCTTCATCAGCAACATCATAAAATCCAGGAGGAGGTCTCTTCTCAAAGGGAATTTCAGAATTATAGTCTATCCCCTTTCTTTTCCTCTTCCGTTGCCTAGTATCAATACCAGCAGCCTTCAGTTCCCTTCTTTTCTGCAAGGAAGCAAGCCTCCTAGCTTCTTCAAGTTGTTTCTCCCTAGCCTTTCTTTTAGCCTTTTTACCTTTAGTATTTGCTAACCTAGCTCGTGCTTCCGAAAGCATCTCCTTCTCATCCTCATCCATATCAACAGGATCTGGACGTGCAGGCTTAGATTCTGGGTTCGGATCAATCTCACCAGGACGCAACTTCCGTGGGTCATCCCCAGGTTCGTAGTTGTCATCCTTAACACAAGCTGCATCAAGCAGCTTCTCGTAACGCTCAAGGCACTGTGATGGAGTACGTCCAACAATTGGGGCAATCGTCCTCCACTGTGTGGGCATGAGCTTTGCAAGATGAAGCAATTTCTCGTCCTCTTCTCTAGTCCATTCAGTCTGCAAAAATACCAACATAAAAATAAAAGACAAAAAAAAAAAAACCACTGTGTTGCATTTATCAATCAAAACCGCTAATTTCATTATCCATAAATACTACAACAACAAAAAATGTGTTCTAATTTTCTCATAAACCAATCAAAATTCTAGAAACCCACACAATAAAAGCACTATTTTCATCAACAAAACCAAAAACAACAACAATCTTCTACCAAATGATCACTCAAAAAACCCACTTAACCATTTATCAACAAAATCACTACACTCATTATCCATCCAAAAACGAAAAGAATAATTTCTCTATAAAAATCCGAAAAAAATCAAACCGATGTACCAAAATCCAAGACGGGTAAAAAAAAAAGAAAGAAAGAGAAACAGTAAAGTAGGATAAATACATACCTTTTTAATGGAAGGATCAAGCCACTCATACCAACGAGCTTTACATTGCTTAGCAGATTTACGAACAAGAAGGGAAGAAATACGAGCCCATTGATTTTTGCCATATTTCATAACCGCCGCTTTTAATATTTCATCCTCCGTGTTCTTCCACACTCCACCTTTTATCATGATCCTCATCTTGCCTACCTTTTCTTTAGAATCCCACTAATCTCTCTTTAAATTTTTAAAAGAAGAAGAAGAAGAAGATGATTAGGGTTTCTGTGTTTCCCTTTCTATTCACTCTAGCAAGCAAGAGGTATGCGACTTGCACAGAAATCTTATTTTTGTGTTTTTTTTTTTCCTCTTTTTTCGTCTGATGATGAATGAATCTGAGCTGAAGAAGGATCTCTATACTGGGCCAACCAATTTGTAAACTTGTTGGATCGGAATTTGGGCCTCTTCTCTTGTAACTTTGGGCTTGAACTTTCCTTGTCGAGAAATTAAGTCGTTCTGTTTTTTTTTTTTTTAAAGAAAAGTAATCTTATCGGTAATTTTCTTTTTATAATTTGATCAACTTCATTGGGCATGGGTCGGGTTTCATTAAATTAGGGCTGGGCTTCAAAAACAATACCAGGAAGAGGTTGAAAGTTGAGACAGACTAAAATTACTAGTAAGAAAGTTGATATCGTGTAGAAGGATCGATATGACAACAAAATTGAAAGAAGCATTGCCCTGCTTTTGATTTTCAGTATTATTACCTTCAAAAAGAAAAAATATACTATTAAATGGCTGAATTTTCATTCTATAAGAGTTTTTCGATCTAATTGTACTTCGTAATCTATCAAAGGGCATTATGAATGAGTTATTTCAACTCCAAAATTGAAAATGTTTTTTTTTTTTTTTTTGTGACATTAGAGGAAATTCTGGAAAGAATCACACTTAATAACTAATTAACTATTAAAAATTCATCTTATCATTTTACAATATAACTAACTGCATCCCCATTGTACATTTTTGACAAAAAAAACCACCTTGTTCCTTCAGAGGAGGAAAAAAAAACACAATTATGTGGTAAAAAAAGAAATCATTTTAAAATGATTGAGAATTATTAAGTACTTCGTATTTAAATAGATCGTAAATTTTATCCTAGTACTTCATAAATTTAAAAGTAATACAATTATAGTGCCTTCAACTAGCCAAGCAAAGCTTTTTTTTTTTCCTTTTGTTTGTTTCTTTTATATATATATATATATATATAGGATAAAAGTTCTCTCCGCATCAATCTGTACCCAGAACAGAACGACTAAAAATCAAGTATATTGCCATGTTATTTTACCCAAAATTCTCTTTCCCTATTAATGCTCCAATTTCACTAAGTCCCTCATTTCATTGGACAAATTTGACAACTGAATAAACGGAGGGGAGAGAAAAAAAAAAGATACAGGATAAAAGCTTTCTGCACTGTCCCTTAAGCCTCTTTACCGATAATATGATGCCAGGATGTAGAGAATGACTGATGTGGAAGTCGTGATTAGCAGTTCCTACAGATGAAAACATGTGATATGAGAGGAGGCATCATAGGGCTCAACAGATAGAAAGCATTGACAGAGAAACACCATCAGATTACTATATGCAGTTGAGTAAGTATCCAAGAACTAAATCATTGCCTGTTTCTAGCAGGTTTCTAAAGCAACGTTGGAATTGTATGAAAAACTGCATTGAGATCACTTTTATCAATTCAATAATGCATGTCAAAATCTAGGGAATTTTGCAAACTAAAATAGCAAATGCCAATAACTAGCTTTTCTGGCCCATAACCACACATGTGAGAGCTAATTGCCATTCCCAGGTTACAAAGAACCTTAACCCAGGTAAGCACTAAATGTGTATTAAAATAACATAAACCCAACATTTTCTGAAGATCTAAAACCGATCTCAAATAATATTTTTTTTACCACAATACAACACATTAAGTTTTAGTCCAACAGCAACTTTACATCTATATGAAGAAGCCCATTGTTCAAGAAAATATGTCAAGGTCACTACCTGGTTATTGTAAAGAAAAACAGGTATGTAACTGCCAGCCATCTCAATCAAATTCAAAATACCAGTGTAAGCCTGCAAGGTGTCAGCCAACAGTTGTCAATGGGAAGGCACAAAGAAGAGAACAATAATTTCAAATGAAACTAGGACACTGATGTAGAGAAATCAAAAAGGCACATATAATCTATCCAGTGGCTCAGAAAAGTACTTTCCTTCAACAATTGAAGGAAAATTAACCAGTAAACTCAGCACAAATTAACCAATGATGGTCCAGTCATGAACATTTGCAGGAATTGATTGGACAAAAACAGAGACTTAGACAAGGAGGGGCAAAGATAAAAGTTAACTCTTAGTTTGAATGGTTTTTTATGGAATCTTCTTCGCATAATTTGAAGTATTCCCCTGTCCCCTCCCTTACTGTGGTGGCCTCGGGACAAAGCTAGGTCCGTCCATTGATGGAACCATTAAACACCCAGAACCTTAGATCACTTCCCTGTTTGATTAGCAAAGGCTTGCTTGACAAATCTTGTTAATGTAAGATGGTTTTCCATCTACCATAAAATCCATAATGCAAAATGCCAGAGGAGAGTTATATAGTAGTATTATGTCCATACCAGGGAACTTCAAGATTTAGTATTATTTAGTTTCATTTAGAGCCTTATCCTAACGAGAGAATGGAGAAGTTTTGAAACATTCTCTTTTCAATCATGAGAACCCAGGATCGCCTATTTTAATTGAATGCATGTTGCATAGCAAACCAATTAGTTTTCCAAAATCTTGGCAGGGAATTGCAGACTAAAGTCAGTGATGTGTGAACTTATCAACAACCTTTCTAAAAACACACCAAAAAGTAGGAAAACATAAAATACCAAGGAAGCAAAGGCAATAGATCCAAAAACTAGTGCAAGGGAACGAAGAATCCTTTTCCCCAAGCGCACTGTCCGCCCCTCGTCTTCACCATCTTCCTGCAGCCAAAACATCTCAGGTGTTTAAGCAGATTGAAAGACTTATTCAGGTATGTCAAAATTATTGAAGGTGTCTCCACATCTGATGTCCCACAAGATGGAAGAATGCTGTGGCCTACATTACACTCACTGTATATGTCGGCGACACAGGAGGTTCAAAGGTTTTTAACTTCTCAAAAATTCGATATACAAACGCAAAAGCCAGGAACTGAAGAGGTTTATATTCAGCATTGCGTTTGATAAGAATCCAAGCTGTCTGCAAAAAGACAAGCACAACATGAGAATGGAATCCAACAAAGAATACAGAAAGCATCACAGTTATCAACAGCCCAAAAAAGATGAATACTCATGCTGAGTCATAAATGCCATGCTATAAGCCTACAACAAAACAATTCTGTCCGATGATTGATCAAGAATTACATGTGCAAATATTAGCACTCAACTAGACCCTCTGTTATTGATATTTTTGGCACACCAAAACCCTGTATGAGCATGATAAATTTTTATTGACATTTTTTCACTCCTGTGTATATAAAGAAAAAAAAAGAAAAAGAAAAAAACATGTCTCTGAGGGCTGCGGAAAAAATCCAAGTATAATGAAGTTCATTGAGATTGCAGAAAGGGTTCAATGATGGCAATACACCTACAACAGACAAAATAAATCAAATCATAGTCACTCAGATGAGTTTGCAATCATAGTCATGTAAAAATCAATTAGGTGGACCTGCATTCACTATATTGATAAATCCTTCATTTTGTAGTGCTTGTGAATCATGTTCAGACCTCATATTTATGGATGCAGATTTCAGATGAAATATATTTATAAGATTTCACCTGAATGAGTTGGATGGTGAGAAAGTGTGACATCCCCACAGCAGGGAAAAATAATGAGGTTATCAAATTGGTGAATGTCCACTATTATGGAAAGCCAAATGCAGCCTATGAGGGTGTCCACAATTTAGTCTAGAATTGATTGTTATTGACAAAATATAAAGTTGAGAGCACTTCTGCTCACTTAGGTTTTTTCTCCATTTAAATTACACAACCCAATCTTTGGCGTTTCATTCCCTATTCCACCAATCTGCTACCCTCCAATGTCAACATACTGCAGGCTGACCAAAACAAATATTTATTGAAAAGAGCTATAACCCCTCAACATCATGAGAACTTAAACTGACTGAATCAATCACCCCATAAACAAAATGTCATTATCTGAATTTTAAGTTCATAAAATTATACTCAGAGCTAAAAATAACATGAAATATGGACAAATGGACAGTCGAATCAACAATCTAGCAGTTATAACACTGCCTACCACCTTCCTAATTGCTGACAGGGACACTTAACACTAATCACTTCCTTGGCCTAGCATATCAAAGACATCCACAAAAAGACGAGAATTTTCACAAAGAAACATTAATTAATTACTTACAAATGCAGCAGATATTGCCAGGTTGATGCGCATGTCATGTTCACTGGACTTGGCAAACCTGAAACATAGTAGGGTAAAAATATAAGGGTACCTACTTGCACAAAGAGACTCAACAATACTGCTGAAAAGGCGACTACAACATGCACGGAAAAATAAAAACAATCATTTTGAGATATCTTCATAATTAGTTAAAGCAAAGTAAATCAAACCCCCATCCTTGACAGAAATTGCAAAGACAAAATCTGCATCACTTCTAAATATACAAAACACCATCCTAATAAGTTTATGTGTAATGCCAAGTAAAGCATTTTTCATTATCTGACAGAAAAGTTGTCCTCGTATCTTCGCTTTAGAAAGATCCCACCCTCTCCATACAGCTTCGGTGAGCATACCTTGGCACTAGGTAACTTATTGTCAATTTCATCATTTTCTCTTTGAGGTTTAATCTATGGATGATAACAGAATCATAAACTATAAATAAAGGTAATGGATGAGATAAATATTTAAAGCACACAATGCCACGATCAATTTTGCACCAGTTATTTATTAAAAATGCTAATATTGAGCAGTAACAAGACCTTGGTCCCCATGGTACAATTGGCTGCTTATCAGCATATTTTATGTCCTTTGAGACCTGCATTGCAAAAGTATGTAAAAGGATATTAAGATAATCAATATGAGAAAGAAATAGATCCTAAAAAAGCACATCCAAAAATCAACAAAACATCTCTAACATAAAGGCTTCTAAAATAATCTATGAAGTTTAAAAAATGTGTTGCACAAAAGCTATTGATGAAGAATTTGCCTTTGCTACTTGATCTTATTGGTCCTGCTATTCTAGTTATAAATTCCATGGACCCTTGTGGATGCCAATACGGGTGGCAATGGTTAGAAGACAGTGCCCAGAAGCTGCAAAAAAAAATGTTGCACTGCACAAGCTTCTAACTAATCCCATGTAAGTTAGTTATGTGGTTAAGAAGAGATTGTCAAACCGCTTCAAAGCTGAAGTGGTAATTGAAAAAGTTTTTACTCTATTAAAGAAAATCAATATATCCAGATTAAACTAGCTAATTTTGTGTACTTATTAGGATCATATTAAGGCTTTTTGCCCTTTTTGACATGGTCATTAAAACTTATATTTTTTTGTACTCAATGAATTTTAATCTATCATGTCATTAAGAAGATTATGAACATTGAGTTTATATTTATAGAGACACCGATACATTATAAATTTCATTTAATTTTCCCTGGACAAAAGAATGTGGAAACCACCACTAATATCATCTGGTATTTCATAATTAATTCATCAATTCAAAAAGGTTTTAAAAAAAATCATGAACCATACCTTGAATGAACCATATGTCACACCCTTCTTCCGATTACTTAACTGAGCCATCATCAATTTATCATATGCCTTCTCTAGCTGGAAGTGAGATATAGTATATATGGTAAAACCTCAAGACAAGATACCCAACATGAGACAAATTCCCAATTTTAAAGACATGTGCAAGTAGAGATAAGAAAAAATCAACAAAAAAAAAAAAACACTAATCAACAGAAATTTTTTCTTTAGAGAGATAAAGTAGTAGCATACCCGAGCAGCAGTTGCTTCATCACCCTCTATCTCGGCCTCCTTGCGCTTTTTTGCATACGCTGCCTTCACCATATCAAACCCCTCAATGGGATTCACACCAAGAACCTGAAATACACAAGCCCAGAAATAATTCAAATAAAAAGCACCACTCCACCATACACATAACAGTTCCATAACTTCAAATCCTTAGGGAAAAACTGAGAACTATCTGATATTACCTCATATGGGTTTAAGTCATTGTCTGACCTAGAACCTCCTGTTGCTGACGCGGAAGCACAAATAAAACTTTTATGTTGCCTTACCACTCCAGGAAATCTGATAAAATTAAAACACAATGCTACCATCATTATATATCCCAAATGCAATTAAACCAATAAGCTAAAACAAAGATGACAAACGTATACTCATACATAACTGCATTTATCAGTTTTTAACTAAGAGTCTCAAAATGCGAAAATCCATTTCAGAAAAATGAAGATAGCTTAAAATTCAAACTTTCTTAACAGTTGCCCATTAAGAAGCACTACATAAACTAAGCTCCTAACAAAAAATATATGTCCATTGCATAAAATATAATATTCGTTACATTTCTATAAGATTCTCTGTTTGGCTACTGAGATTATGCAAATATTGGAATTTTAACGAGAATTCATAATTACCTGACAAGGGAAGTTGGGGATTTTAAAACTGAGTTTTTGAGATTGAAATTCCTCTGGGAAATTTGGGGTTTAGGGCAGTTAAGGACATTTGAGATCGCCGAAGCCATTGATTTCAATGTTTATGCTTGTGTGGAAGGGAATTGTGGAATTTAATTTTTAGGGTTTATCAAGGGTTTTTGATTTGGAGTGTAGTAGTTTTACAGGTTCTATCTGTTAGTGCTTGTTTGTTTGTGTCCAATATGGGAACTCAATTCCCGGGGAATCCCTTTTCTTCTCTCTTCTTTTATGGAATTTGCATAAGGTTTTCGGGAGTTTCCCAATTAACTTCTTAAAGTTTCGATTGAATTTTATCTAGGTATATAGGATATTTTACGCCATTGATCCCCGGGGTTAATAGTATAATACATAGTTAACTTCTAAGGATTACCAATAAGCTTGTGATTTAGTAATAGTAAGTTTTTTTTACCTGCAATAAATGATAGGTTTAAATTCTTCTTTTAAAATATTTGAGACTCGACAAAAAAAAAACTCATTATAAGCCAAATATCAAAATAGATACTCATTTTTGTAACCGTGATCGATTCAATTTATAATGATCATTCGATCTTTTTGTCTTACTAAAAAGTGGTTTCTAAATTCGAATTTTGAGATAAGTATTCAAGAGAATTATTAAATCTTTTAAATGCACTAGAGCAATGTAGAAGGTGTGTCATTAAAATGGATTGAGATGTAAAATTTAGTCTCGATATACATACAAATTGATCTAAAAATATGCATTATCTTGAGATAAAAAAAAATTATATTACATGATTTGTCGGGACAATTAACAAACCTTATAAATTTTTTTATTCAAAAATAAATATTATCTTCAAATCAATTTACATGTCAATTAAATCACCTTATAAAAACTTAATTGTCGAATTATGAATTTAGTTAATAATGAATGACGATAGCATGATGGTAGTAGTAGCACTAGTAATGATGATCGTAGGTATTTAAGATGACATGAATGGATGTAACAAGAGCTAGTTATTTATCTTTCAACAAATGTAGCTCTAACTCTATGGGTTGGTTTAATGAGCAAAAAGCTTAGGTTTTGTTGGAAAAAAACACTTTTATGAATCGAAATTAGAAACCATAAGTCTTGATTATTATTTTTTCTCTCTTTACAATTAAAATTAAAATCAATCAATCAATAATAACTAGTACGAAAATAAATAAACAAAAAATCATAATAAACACGTGATTTTTATGTGGAAAACCTCAATATATGGAAATGTACTCCACTCAAACTCTTCCACTACATTAAATAATAAAATATAAAATTCTTTCCTAACTCAACTACAAGATACACGTCAAAACATTAAAGTCATTGTCCCGAAGATGGATTCCAACAACAACGATTAAAAAAAAATTATATCTCACCGGATAGATTTTTAAAAAAATATCCTAAGATGAAAACTTCTCAACGATCAATATCATTCAAGTTGAAGAGCTCATCATTGGACAAAACATATCAAAATCAAATCATCGTTTGATCAAGGCAATAAATTTAAGAATTAAACCTTTCTCTCTTTCGACCAAAACTCTACTAGTTTCTTTTTTGTTTTTTGTTGTCTAGCGTTGTCATTTATGTCACATAATTGAAATCCAAAAATATCAACTTATATAATTGTTACTTACATGACTTGCCTTTCTTTCCTTTTTTGTCTTTTTTTTGTCTTATTTTATTTACATAGGTTTTAGGCCCTATATGAGGAGGGACACAACCCAATAATTCTCGTCCTCTCGATTCATTTGAAGGGCTCTACCAAGCCCACTTATCTTCCGTAGAACTCAAACTTCTTTTTTTGGTAAAGGTTTGGTCATCATATCCAACTCATTCTTATTAATATCGATCTTTTCGGTTACAAAAGACTTCATCTCCAATCTATTACTATTTGACCTCGATATGTTTCAATCAAGAATAAAAAGTAGAATGCTTACTAAGATAGATTGTACTTTAACGATTGCAATAAATTATCTTACTCTAGTCCAAGTTCATGTGATAACCTTTTCATTCATAGCAACTCTTTGCCCTTATTTGATAAGAGCAATGTATTAAGCCTTAATAATGGGTAACGTAAAGCATTTACGTAACCTTGACTATCATAAAACTGCTTCCTTTATAAAAGTCATCAAGTATCCTAATGTGGACTTTCAAGAATCAATGTCACCATCTATATTTGCATTCGTGTATCAATCTATCACGGCTTTATCATTGCCAAAGCATATGCTAAAACTAGAAGTGCCTCCGAAATATTTGAGTATTCATTTCACTACTAACCAATGTTCTTCACCAAGATTAAAGAAGAAACGACTCATCATACCAACTATAAGAATTATATATGATCTTATGCAAACCATGACATATATCAAGCTACCAATTACGGATGTATAAGAAAACTTTTTTATCTTATTTCTTTCTTCATTTCATGAATAACACGACTTATAGTTGCTTGCAAGTGGAGAAAAAATAAGTTTGGACTTACCCATGTTAAATATATATTTTCGGGGACCTTTTGAATATATATCTTCTAAGATAGCCAAGGTTTTCATTCTTTTTGTCATGAGTAATTTTCAAGTCAAAAATATGTTTTTCCAATTGTGAATCTTTCATTACAAAAGACACGCTCAACTCTCCTTTTAAAATTTGAATCTCCACAAGCATCATGACAAACAATCAACACATCATCTATACATAGTAAGAGAATAATAAATCATTAATTAATAATTTTTTTTTTAAACACACAATAATTAAAAGTCGTTATACCATAACTATGCTCCATCATGAAGAAGTCAAACTTCTTATAATATTATCTTAGAGCTTACTTCAATCCATTCAAACTTTTTTAGCTTTCAAACTAGTTACCCATTGCCTTTCATTTCAAACCCTATAGGTTGTTCCATATAGAACTTCTCATCTAAGTCGCCATATAAGAAACTATTTTTCACATCAAGTTGTTCAACTTTAAGATTTAAACTAGCTTTTAAACCAAGCACAACTCGGATTAAAGACATTTTGATCACGAGTGAAATTTTTTTTCAAAATTAATACCTTTTTTAGGATTAAAATCCTTCACATCCAATTTTTCCTTGTACCTTAGTTATGAGCAATTTTTTTTAGTTTTCAACCTAAACACCTATTTGCTATCGAGTGCTCTTTTGACCTTAGAAAACTTTACTAACTCAAAAGTTTGGTTCTCACACAAGATTTTTCATTTCATTTTGTATGGCTTTCAACCACTTTTTTTTTTCGTTTCATATGATATAACTTCATCGAAGCGTTATGGCTTTCTTCCATCAATAACCAACGAAACCGACTAAAAGGATATTTAGCAAAAGCTTGGTGATGTAAAGTGGACCTCCTAAATGACGGCTCACATGGTGCTTCTTGAATAATCTATTAAAAAACAATAATGCCATCATCATCATTATTGATTTAGGATCATTAGCTAATGGCTCAAAAGGCAAACCACCACCACCATCATTCTTGAAATCTTTCCCATGATTAAAAGGCATCAAAGATAACTATAGGGTAGGTTTTGGATCCAAACTTGCAAAAGTAGAACTCGAGGGCTCTACTTTTTCCTTCTATTCAAAATTTCCAATGGTCTAATCTTTAAAAAAGACAACATATTTACTTCGACTAGTTTTCTTCTTTTTTAGATCCGACAAACTGCAGATCAAAATCATCATCTCCATAGCTTATGAAAACACACTAATCAAGCCTAGATTTTTCATTTATAGGAACATGTATAAATACCCTACAACCAAACACTCCCGAGTATGCATAAAAAACATATTTCCTATTTCATACTATCTCTTCCATATTAAAGTCAAAAGAAACCAATGGAGAAAGGTTGATCATGACAATTGTAGTTTTAATTGCCTCACTCTAAAAGTGCTTAACAGTGCTTTATATGAGAGAACATATATCTAATTCTTTTAATAACAATTATGTTCATTCTTTCTACCACCTCATTTAACTCCGAAGTCTTCGTAACTATCTTCTAAAATTTAATGCCATGATGGTTGCAATACTTCTTAAATGGACCGTTGTATTCATCATTATTATCTACACAAACACATTTCAGCTTTTTGCTAGTTTTTCTTTTAACTATATCATGGAGATTCATAAAAACATCAAGCACTCAATCTTTTGATTTCAAACAAGTCGCCTATATTTTTCTAAAACAATTATCAATAAAAATAAAAAAGTACAAAACATCTCCAAGAGATTTGTTAGTCATTGAGCAAACATTAGTACGAGCTAAGCAAAAAAATAAAAAATAAAATCTTTTGATTAAAAGTAATCTATAAAATACCACTCTAGATCGTTACCAATTAAACAATAAGTATAAGTGTTCAACTTCATACATCTAAAAAAAGGTTTTTCTCAATAAGGATACCAAGGGATTTCTTATTTAACCGACCAAACCGCCTATGTCATAACTCGATGGAAGCATCTTCAATTGCATTTACCTTCTTTTTTATTACCTTGACTTATGACATGTAGAGATTCATCTTTTGTCATTAAAAATAATCAAAGAACCTTTGGAGAGCTTCTATTTACCATCTTTAAAAAAATTATGATAGTCTCATTCATTCGAGTTTACCTATAAAAATCAAGTGTTGACCCATATGTCTTGCATTCTTAAATAGTAACTTGGTATTGGTTTCTAACCAAGTATCTCCTATACCCACGACTCTAGACCAAAGTGTCATTAATGTTGGATGTGAAGAAATATCATTGGGGTGTGATTTGGTAAGAAGTAGTTGAATCTATAGTCCATATGGTATTCTAATAAATAAGATTTACACAACCATCATCACAAACAATAGCGACATAACCATCTTAAATAACTACGAGTTGTACCATTTTTTTCATTTTTGTTTTTAGTTTTACCCTTCTAATCTATCTTGTTCTTTTTGTAATCTTTTTTAATATGTCCAAACTTGTCATAATAATAACATTTTATTTCTTTTCATGATTGAGATTCCCTCTAGACTTTTATTTGTTTCCTCTATCACTAGATTCTCTATCCTTCTTATTGGAGAAAATCAATTTGGACTTGTCTTTTGGTTTGTTGTAACGAGTATATGGGAGTCTAAAACATATGAATCTTTTTTTCTTTTTTCTTCATTAAGAATACTATCATTCACTATCTTTAAAGTGAGCTTTTCATTCACAATAGAGATACTAAGTGACACCACCTAGATATGTTAATTATCCAACAATGAACTCAATATGGATCAGTGCTTGTATCTCATCGCCTAACTCAAGTTTCATCATTGATAATTGATGCAAAAACCCTTGTAAGTTATTTATGTGCACTCTCCTTAATAAAGATTTCTTTCAGCAACTTATAAAATTTATAAAAGTTGTGTTTTTAAGAAGTATGGTTAATGGACTTAGAAAATATATATTTTTTAACAACAATCGTAGCTTTTCGAGTGCATCGACTTTTATTTTAACTCATCTATATCAACATACTTCTTTTTTTACACTTAAGCAAGCAAAGCCAAATCATTGTAGTAAAAGTGATCCTCCATCAATATCTTCTATAAAAAGTAATTGGAAAAAATGTGTTTTATCATGCTCGAATCTCCCTTATTTATTTTAAATGTACAAGAAAAAATCATTTACACTATCCAAACCTCTAATACCATTATGTTGAGAAAATATACATGTATGAACAAAAATCTCATAAGTCTCAATTCCTTTCTCTCTTTATGTAATTAAAATTAGAATCAAATAGTCAATAATTATTAATATATAAATAAATAGCATGCAATCACAATTAACCAAAGAATTTTTATATGCAAAACTCCGTGTGGAGAAAAACTATGGAGCCGTACATTCAAATTCTTCTAATATATAAAATAATATGGTACAAGTTTTTTTCCTAACTCAATTGGAGGTTATACATCAAATCATCAAAGTCATCTTTCCAAACAACTTATTAAAAATTCATCTTGATCAAGTTTGAAATTACCGTTTGATCAAGACAATAAAGGTAAGAACTAAACTCTCTCTCTCGGCCAAAACTCTCGTAATATCTTACTCTCTCTTTGTTATTGTTGTTGCTCGCGGTTGCCCGTTTCATTGCGGGATTGAAAGCAAAAACGTTTGATCTATATAATCGTCACTTTACGTGACTTGTCTTTTTTCTTTCATTTTATGTTTTGTCTTTCTTTCTTTCCTTCCCCACCCCCCCCCCCCTTTTTACTTTATTTACATGAGTCTTGGGCCCATACGAGCAAGAACCCAACCCAATACATTCACATTTCAAGTTTGGCTTCTAACGTGGTTATAAGTAAAAAAATAAAAATAAATAAATACTGCTATTAGAATTTTGAATACCCTTCTTAGATATCAACACTCGCATATATCAATGTATTAGTAAATGAGTAGAGAGTGTCCTTCAAATTCGAAGTTCTAAATATGAAACAATTGATTATATATATATATATATATATATTGATCACATAATTTATTATTTCTTTTTTTTCCTAAAAAAATATAATTTATTGTTTAAATCACCATAAATCTTAAAATACAAGAGAGAATTGTCCAACTAGACAATAACAATTAATAAAAATGTACATGAGTGAATTAATTTGCACAGTAGAAAGAAAATTCATTCAACTTAAGATCTTAAGTTCGAATTTTGCATCTTTGTGAAGTAGCAAAAATATGTCTACTCAATTTTGTTCTTAAATCATATTAAACTCAACCATTTCGATACAATAAAATTTTTCTAAATATACGTAGACGTGAGAGTCACAGTATTTCATGTCCGATGTGCATAATCATTTGTTATACAAAAAGGAAAAAGAGTTTTTCATGATTATCGTGAAAGTAGTTTTTTTGTTTTTACGTCAAAGCAAGAATGACATTAGCCTATTTTTTATTAACGGTTAAACTTAGCTTGAAGAAGCTCGATTGTCAAATGTTCGCATGGCCTAATGGATAAGGCGCTCGCCTCCGGAGCGGGAGATTGTGGGTTCGAGTCCCACTGTGAACGTCATTTATAGTAATTAAACAAAATTTCAAACCCAGAATTATACTCTACTTTATTTCCTCTAATTTATTAATTTTGCATGCTACCGGGAACCCTCCCGCCTTTGTTGCTGTTACATTCATAGGATTTGACCTTCATCAAAGAAAAGAAATTTTCACGACTAGCTTGATCCATCCAATATTACAACGAGATAGTTTCAAAGACGATAACAGTAATGAAAATTGTAATTGCAAACAAACCTCTTGAACCATATAATTCATCAAGCAGTAGTAGATCGAGAGACTATCCGAATTGTCTCAAATTTTCGAACACCTCTCTCGAGTTTCCTGCTTTCACGAGGAGGTCATACCAAAATTCCTCCATATCATTTTTGCTATTGAAACAATTCATGGCTTCCACTTTTTCCATAGAACTCAATATTTCTTGCGGCGAATCTTGCTGGAAGATTCGTTTATTACCGGGACTTTGACATCTACTTTGATGGGCTCTGAAATTCTCAGGCTGTGATGAACTAGTATTATTGATCATTGCCCTTTCCGGAGTTCTTGTGCAATGTTCATTTGGGTTGTCCAAATTTTGTAGAAATCTCTTTTTTAGATGGCTGTGCCAATAATTCTTGATCTCATTGTCTGTTCTTCCTGGTAATCTTGCTGCGATAGCAGACCATCTGAGGATCAAAACAAAACGAAAAAAACCATCTAGTCTTCTTAGTCTTGAGTAACTGAAATACGAAAACAATGCACTATATATATATATATATATTCTAGGAGAAAAACCTCACCTGTTTCCAAGAATTTGATGTAGCCTAAGGATAGTTTCTTCTTCTTCATTGCTGAAGTTTCCTCGTTTAATGTCTGGTCGTAAGTAATTTATCCATCGAAGCCTACAACTCTTACCGCACCTCAACAAACCTGAAGAAATTAATTAAAGGAACATTAGGGATTAAGCCAAAGTAATTATTGCATCCACACATTTCAATTAATTGCATAAATTAATGTCACGACATGTTTTTACGTTTCCATGAAGAACAGCTAGCTAGCATCGAGAAATATTCTACTTTGTGTTCAAATTCTAAAAATTCACGAACAGACTAGAAGTTCATCTTCAAGAAAAGCTTATATAGCGAAAATCAAAGTCTTTGACATGCTACTTTGCTTAATTAGATCGAGGACCTGGGTTTGTAAGGTGTAATTACGTTACTTCTATTCTCTAGCCTCCTACATTAATTTCTAACACATTTCGCATTCGATTATCAAACAAAGAAAGAAAAATGTGATGCAAATCTAAGTCGCTTCAAGTAGGTAGTCTTGGAATTGAGATGAATTAGCTAGGATAATAAAGTATGATAATAATTACCAGCTTGTTTTGGGAGTGCTCGCCAATTGCCATGCCCGTAACTTTGAATGTAAGACACCAAGATTTGATCTTCTTCAGGAGTCCAAGGTCCCTTCTTCAATCCCATCATTTCACAACAAGGAGCTCTCACCATTTTTTTTGTCCTGGAATTTGTACACTTCTATGTGTGTGTGTGTGCCTCTATGCTATCAACGTTTCAAAGGTCTCACCGATTATCCTTTTATTCCTACAGAGCATGTTACAAGTGGTCCAAGAATTGCCTAGTTTTCAAAAGCAAACTCAATTAACCAGCCCTTTTTTTTTACGTTGATCTCTAAGGGATGGGCCATCGAAGAACTCTTCAACTATCACTTTATTTGCTTGATTGTAAAGCGTATGTCGATATATTTTTGTCCGCGTATTATTTGTTCATAAGCTACCACTACGCATATGCTTCTTGGTTACTTCTCTTTGGATGGCCATATAGGTGGTGTTTAATGGTCAAAATTTATGTGCTCTACGGGCGATAATGGGTTTCATGTTTGATGATGTTATAGCCGCCATTAGCAACATGATTTATCTTTTTCGTAGACAAGCATTTTAACTATGCGTATTTTATTTCAATGAAAAAATAATTAAAAAAAATGGACATTACTGCATGATCTTGATAAAATAACTGTTTCAAGACATTGTTTGAAAAACTTTTGATCAAATTCCATTCACACCTATTGTTACTTTTTATTTGGAAAATCTTACACATTATATATGCTTTATACATATTGCACCTACGTGTGAGGATTGACAGCAATATAGCACCAAATTCCGAGACATTATATTATATAACTTTATGAAATATCCAAAGACAATCCTTAAAAAAGTTGTTTTTGCCAGGACAGTCGTACCATAGAAAAGTGGTTTTGTCGGTCATTTCATGGGAGATTAAGGTAAAACATTAAAAAAATGTGAGAAATAATGTGCTTATGAGTCAGTTCGTCTTCTAAGAGAATTATTTTGGCCGAGCTAGGTGAAGCTTTGATCAAAGGCATTATGACTTAATGTTGACTTGGGTGTAAAGATCTTCATATTTTCTTCCCTGATAAGGCTTTCCAACAAAGCAATGTACTTTAAAAGCTATGCTACCCTTTTTAGTGGGTGAAATATTTCAAAGGAAATCCCGTACCTTTGCCGACATTGGATTTGGTTTGAAAAATAACAATTAATCATGTCATGGATTTATTTTATTTTATTTTTATATATCTGAATAAAAAATATTATCGAGTTAATTGTTATATCAATTGAAATTAAATTTTTTACTCTATAATAAGATAGATTAGTTAAAAAAAAATTTTATCATAGAAAATGATATATAGAAAAATTGATCACGCATTCAATAAATAAAAATTATATTTTTTCACTTTCATACACATAACTAGAAATTTTCTCCATATTTATGTCAGAATGAAAATTTAAAATATTTTTATAAAAATGAAGTTAACCGGATGTAGATACAACATTGTTTAAAAAACTTAGTCGCAGGATTTGAATCAAGATCCTTCAAAGTGGATGAACTTTTTCGGCATCACCGGAACCAATGTCCTATCGTCGTAAAGTTGTATCCTTTAGCTCCCAAAAAGTTTCTTCTTTTTTTAATAATAAAAATTAATTAAGTACTTATGAAATTGACAACGCCATTGAATCACAAGATCCTAGCTTGTAGTTTGGGTTGATGTCCTCCTTGCACTTTAAGTACTCTTGCTTTCTTTATCTCGGTCTCAAATTCAAAAATATACATCAAGTGCTCCATTTTTTCTTTTTATCTCCTAATTGCCAACGTGCGGCAAAGTTTTTTTTTTTTTTAAGTCTTTAGTGGCAGTATTAGGAATGAATTATTTATCTTTTCTTATTCGTTTATTTTCAACTTGAGCTGAGCAAGATTGATCCTAATGACTTAATTTATTAATCAAATTACTTGACTTTACAGTTGATGTTTATATCAACTATCTTAAACTACTAGTAAAGAGTTAAAGTAATTAACGGCAAATTTTCCATCAGAGATTGACGATCAACAGTCTTTCTTGGGTAAAATTTTGTGTTTATAATAAATTGGAGGTTTTAGATCTTTTTTTCAGATAATTACATGTTGGTTTATTGTTTAGTCCTAAGCTCGCTAGTCATCCAACCAAAAAATTAGAAACCAAGATGATAGGAGTACGACTTAAATATGAGTAAATTATAAATTAATTCCTCCTGTTCAGAAAAGCAAATTGATCAATCTTTTTTTAAAAAAAAACTAACTATTTAATTCTTTCATGTTTTAATTTCATTAATAATTTAATCTTTTCATTAATTTTTCATTAGATTAATAATTTTTGTCTTCAAATTGTTTTTCTTTTGATTTTTTATTGAAGAGAGGGAGAGTATGTTTGAAAAAAAAAAAAAGAGTATGTTGAAGAAAGGCAATTTAGAAGAAAAAAATCACTAATCTACAAAAAAAAAAAAGAAAGATAAAAAAATTAAGTTATTGATAGAAAGATTATATAATTAGTTTTTAAAATGAGAGAGACTGATTGGTGTAGAGTTTTCAAGTGCAGATCGATGTTTGGTAATGCTTGTTTACTATTAGGTACATGACCAGTACATGCTTTAAGAAAGGAGCAATTTAAAACATAAAACTATAAATAGGGGAAATACTATTTTGCTACAGTACAACTTGGTCGGCCCAAGTATTTGTTGCATATTTCCTCCTTTTCCTTGGGTACATGTTCGAGACCTCTTATGCACGAAAAGAAAGCAAAGAAGGATATTGGGCTTGCTAGGCTGACGAAGTTGTGTTGGCTATATTTAGACGGGAAGTGCGGATTTATTAGGCTAGACCTTTGAAAGAACATATTAAGAGCCCATATGCGAAACAAAATAAATATTGTACATGATTATAAAATAAACTAAAATAAAACATAATTTTATTATTTAAAATATTATTCATAAACTCAAAAATCATTATTATTTTTCACTATTTATGTATTTTTTTAACACTTTAGCCTCAAATTTTTTAAACTTTTTTTTTCAATTTCAAACTTTAATTATATTGTGATTTGGTCCCATTTTGTTTTAATTTTTTCTATTAATTATTTTTATTATTTAAAATTTACTACTTTAATTTTTTATTTTTTAAATTCTCTTTTTTTTTTCAATTTCAAACTTTAGTTTTTTAATTGATTTTATTATTTAAAATTTATTACTTTAATTTATCTTCTTCTTCTTCTTTTTTAAATTCTCTCTTTTTTTAATTTCAAGCTTTAATTATATTGTGATTTGGTCCCATTTTATTGAAGTATTTTTTTAATTATTTTAATTATTTAAAATTTACTATTTTAATTTATCATTTTTTTAAATTCTCATTCAATTAATTTAAAATTATATTTACTGATAGTTTTGATTTATTTTTTTATATGTATAGATTTTGAAATAAATTTTTAGAACATTATTATTTTTTCTTCTAAAAAATAGATTTAGATCATTTTTAAATTATGGTGGCATGATTAATATATATAATTTTTTTCAAATACATTTTTAGATTAAAAGTGTATTTTAAATAATTTTTTCTCGATTTTTTTATATTATTTAAAATTTACTACATTAATTTATTATTTTTTTTTAATTTAAAACTTTAATTATATTGTGATTTCGTCCCATTGTTTTTAGTATTTTTTTAATTATTTTTATTATTTAAAATTTACTAATTTAATTTATCATTTTTTTAATTTTCATTCAATTAATTTAAAATTATATTTACTAAAAAATTTTATTTATTTTTCTATATGTATGGATTTTTGGAATAAAATTTTAGGACATGATTATTTTTCCTTTTGAAAAATAGATTTAGATAATTTTTAAATTATAATGGCATGATTAATATATATAATTTGTCTAAAATACATTTTTATATTAAAAGTGTGTTTCAAATAATTTTTTCTCAATTTTTTTAAAGAAAAACTCAAATTAATTAATTAATAGTTGAAAGTCAAATGTAAAAAATAAAAAAAAGATGGTTGCTCTGTTCATGAGGTCTATATTCAAGGATTAGCTATGCATAACATAGAAAAAAAAAATTAAGAAGGAGGAAAAAAAAAGAATTCACATGTTTTATTAATTTGTTTCTTCTTTATATAATCAAAATTATTCGAAATCAAATTCGTTATAATTTTTATTTTAGTCTATTAACTTCAAATTTAGTAAATATATTCCATGCAAGTTAACTTTTTATAGTATTTTTTATTTTAGATTGAAGACTCTAAACTCGCTTGATATAGTTAATATGTATAAAAAAAATATTGAATCTTTATTTTTTTAGAAATCAAGCTGTGCAACTACTACTACACTAAGTATTTACTATTTATTTATTTGTTTTTGAATATTTTAAAATTAAATTATTTTAAATTAAATAATTAAAATAATATTTTGGCCTAACCACTTAATGATTCAAATTAATATGGTTTTTTATTTTAATATTGTTTGTTATTTTATAAATAAATATATAAAAATTAAATTCATATTTTTTCAAAAATCGATATTCTTATCAACATTAAATTAAAAAATATATATTTGTTCAATTCTATGTAAGCTTTTAATAATTGTTATTTATTTTTTTTGACACAATCTTATGAAATAATAAAAAAAATTAAAAAAAATTATTTAATTTTCTTTTTAGTTAATAATCCATTGATTAACAAGGATGAATCCTTTTTCTAAAGGAAAAATTATGAAAAAAAAAACAAATAAGAAATAGTTAAATACAAAATTTTTTATTACATAATTTATTATACCTTTGATTTCATATATTTTTATAGATTCATATCATAAAATAGATTATCAAACTGAAATATTTTTTTTAAACTATTTTATATATTTTATTCAATTTACAGCATAATATGGGCATAAAAATTAATGAAAATGTAAAACCAACATGGAATCATGGACAACCAAATATAGTAAGTAGTAATCGATCGGTAATGGTTTCTCGTCGATTCTTTTTATGGAAAATTCTTTGCCTTTTGGGTTGATTTCGAATTAATAAATGCGGGCCTTCGTTTAAAATTCCTGCATTACGTGTTAGCAGTAGAAGCACATTAGTTCATGTTATGAATTGTTCTAGAAAACTAATGAATAACACTTCAGATGTTTTTTTAATTATCAGAAATAAAATGATTAGAATGTGAATAAAAATTTTATTCTCATCTTATAATTATTTTGTTGAGAAAAATAAAAATTACATATAGTTTCATTTTCATGTGAAAGATGAGAATAAAAAACAAAAAAATATGAATGAATTTTTTCTTTAAAATAATGATATATTATTTTTATTTATTGTGTATTAGCTACTTTCATCATCACCACCACCATTAGCAATTATGATATTTTTTTTATTATTATTATTATATCACTGCTTCTCTTCCATCACAATCACCATCACTTTTATTATATCATCACCATCACCACTCTTCTTTTGCTGTCAATTTTTACAATGATAGTATGAATTTTTTAAAATATATCATTGTTATTAATATATTTTTATTTCTACCACCTCCTATTCATCCTCTTTCTACTCCATCACCATCACCATCATCACTACTACAATCACTTCTATTATTTTTATCATATTCATAATCGATGAAATTATTTTTTTAATCATTATTCTTATTCGTATTAGAAATAAATATTAAAAAAATTAAATTTTATTCTGATTCTTTATTAGTATTCAAAAAATAGTATAAAAATGTAAATGTCATTTCGATTCTCAAAATTTCATTTCAATTTTTGCATTTTTCTTTTGGACATTTCATTCCAAGCAACAAAAATAGTAGACCTAGCAAATTAAAGAAAGGGGAAAAAAAATGTTCCAAATTCTTACTGCATTTTAAGACAAGCAAACCAAATATCAGGTAGCAATAAAAAACAAGGAAAAGAGCCATCAGAATGGAATAGATAGCACTTTAAAACTTCTACATTTGATCATTGTTTATGATTTGAATGAGCAATGAACTTTAATTAGAATAAGAGTACGTAATTCTATCCTTATATAATTAGTTTATATAAAAAATAATTATTTTACAGAATTCACTTATCTACTTATCTAAAAATATTGACTATTAAATTTAGGACATAAAGTTTTTGCAGTTCAATCGCAACTCCTCATGGTCTTTTATTCGGTAATTTTTTTTAAAAAAAGGAAAAATCAAAGAAAAAGAAAAGTGCCCTTAGAACTTCAAATCATGGAAACTTGGCAACCTGGCATCACCTGATGCTCCATCAGCCACAGTCAAAGGGTAATTGACTTCACATCAGAAACCCCTTAGTTCATGTCATGTAGTTCAGATCAACATAATGATCCTCAATGAATGGTATTAAAACCAAAGATAATTGAACTTTTTCATGAAGATAGCCTTCGTTTCACCTAACAGAATTTAAGTGTATGCAATGTATTGACAAAACTTTTATTATTAATTGCATATTCAGTCCTTTTATTTTTTATATTTTTTAAATGTGGCTCTTCCATTTTGTTTATTTGGTCCTTTTTAAAAAACATTTTTCAATCTAATCCCTCTGATAGGATTCGGATTTTTCCACAAGATGTGATACAATAAGTGATCGGTGGCCCTACCACATCAGATAATAGTACGTAACACGTATAGAAATAAATTTAATTTTTTTTTAAAAAAAGAATAAAACTAAAACTAAAAAATAGGAAAAATTTTATTTTTCGAAATTAAAGTTTTTTATATTGTAGAATTGAAAGTGAATAGTCCTAGAAGGATATACATTTGATGGATGTTCATTAGGTTCAAAGAGCAATGTACCATGTAACCAACAACATATTTTAACACTCCACTAAATAACGTATACCATGCAGAGAGAAGCGTTCCTGCAACACCTTCCATTTTGCTTTCCTCTCTTTCTGAATATCGGTGACTATTCCCATGGTTTATAGCTATCATGATTCCATGATCATAAAATATACCTTGATTCAAATAAACAAAGCTTGAACAACAAAAATTCCTCCATTCAATGCAATCAATATCGCAAAAAGGAATAGAAAATGTTTATCAATGAAGACTGCGATTGTCATGATGCCATGAGGTGGAGCGAGGGGATTTAGTTGACGGTCTGGCAACAAGGCAATAAAACGTTTTGCCTGCTTATTTATTGGCATGTTTAAGTCATAGATTTGAGTATAACGAAAGGGCAAAGAAGGATTGGTGAAATACATGCATAATCTTAGCTTCTTTTTTTAAAAAAAATCATTACAAAAAAAAAAACTAAAAGCATGGGGATTTCACTATTGTTAGAATGTTTATATGCCTTAATTCACTATTCATTGAGTGGCAATTTGTGTAATATGTAGGTATGATTTTTTCGACTAAAAAAGCATACACATTGTACCTACTGGCCAATTTTATGCTAGCAATAAAAGGTTCTAAATGCAAGTGAAAAAATTAGAATGAATAATAATTAAGAATTTCAAATATTATGTTTGGAAATCCGTACAAATTTTGAAATTTTATAATTACTTTTTTTAAAAGACACAAGGAATTAAGATTAAAACAATTACCTATGAACATGACTATGGTGCTGACTGTGGTGGTGAAAAAGGGGGTGGTAAGAAGGATGTTAATTTTATTGGGCTTTCTGGGCCGACTGGTTATGCAGGCTTGTCGGCACTCGGCAATGAGGATTTCCAATCTTAGTCATTAGCTGGGCGGGCCCATATGCAGACAGAACAGATGGGGTGCGATGAAGAAAATATGAAACGAACGTAGGGAAAAGATAAAGGTAAATGGCTCCCTCTATTTTTAGATAATATCATATGTTTTAATTTATTCTTATATTTTAAATTAAATTTATTTTATTTTTAAATATATATTATTTTTTGATAAATAATTATTAAAAAATTAGACAAAATTATCGAAATCAATAACATGATTTTTATATAATTATTTTTTTTAGTTTTAAAATTAAACATTGATACCTGGGATCACATGTATCAGATTGTGACATCTAACCTCCACATTACACATGAAGCCCCAAGCATAAGTTAATTATTATTATATGCTCAATCCTCAATTAAGGACAACAAATTTAAAAGAATACAATATGGATCTGTGATAATTGTTAATTACACTCATGTGATTGTAATAACTTAATGCACAAAACCATCTGGTATATCTTGGTAGCCCATCGTTTCTACTTATTTTATTGAACACAGTACAATTGCAAAATACTAAGCACGCACTTGTTTAAAATAAAACTATGTCCATTCCGTGATATTCATAATTGAAACAAACCAAACAATGCAGGGATGAGTGAGCCGACTATATTTAATTGGCCGCACAATGAATCTACTTCAATCGAGTCTGAGTGCATCGCATATACCTTTAAATAAAGATATGAGTCAATACGTCCACAACAAAAGAATATCCCTGAATATTGTTTTCATGGAGATCGTTTTCGTTATTAAAAGGATAAAAAAAGAACGAGTTAAAGCAATAAATTAACCCTGAGCTATATTGATTGGGTCTAGTATATCTCTGTGTCATTATTTTGGTTTATCATGTCTAACTCAAAATGTCCACAATAAACTATGATTAGCTTAGGACACATAACATGCTTGTAAGGTGACAAAAGTGCAAAATTGTGTCCAAATTTTAATTTAAAAGTAGAATTTTTTTTAATTAAAAAAAGTATTTAAAAAAAGAAAAAAAATCAGTAAAAGAGAATTTTTTTTCTAAATTTTATTTATTTATAGAATTTCAAATGGACGATAATGAAATGATAATTTTTTTTTAGTAAAAGAACAATCTTTTTTTAAAAAAATTTGATCATGTCAAACAAGATTGTATTTTAAAAAACGATTAATAAATCTGATGATGGTAAAAATTATATGATAATGGTTAAAGACTACAAAGATGTCTTTATAATTTCTAAAGATATTAATTCTTTTTCTTATAATATTTGGATATTAGATCCTACATATATGTTATATGTGTTCTGAGAAATAATATTTTAATGATTTTTAATGAAAAAAATATTAATATTATATCTCTTGATAGTTTGCTGTCTGATGGTGTTATAGTCTCAAAACAGTAAAAATCAAAATGTTTGATGGAAAAGTTTGTACTTTATATGGTGTGGTTTATGTCTTAACATGTGCAGGAATTTGATATCATTGAGCTAATTAGACTCCAAATGATATAAGTTTTTTGTCATCAGTGAAGTTTTGAAAATTATACCTTACAAGACAATCCTGATGGAAGAATAAACGTAAAATGGTTTATAACATCTTATTAGAAAGATAATTATCTCGATGAATAACCGAAAATAAAAAACACATGATGATAGTTATCTTAAAGGAGTCTATTTGGCGACACAAGTGCAAAATTGTGTCCAAATTTTAATTTAAAAGTAGATTTTTTTTATTACAAATTATAAAAAAAGAAAAAAATTCAGTAAAAGAGCATTTTTTTTTCTAAATTTTATTTATTTATAAAATTTCAAATGGACGATAATGAAATGATAATTTTTTTTTCAGTAAAAGAACAATTTTTTTTAAAAAAATTATTTAAGTTTGTTCTTTTGCTAAAACGTTATAATAGTGAATTTAGATCAAATATTGGATTTTTTTGTCTTGCGAAACATAGAGAAGAGTCGAATAAAAAAAATATAACTTTGTAACAGTGATCAAAAGCAAGAATAGGAAAGAAAAATCAACTAGAAGGAGATTTTAGAATAGCAGATTTGAGTTCAAATCCAGTAAAAAGGTATTCAATGTTATATGTGTCAAAAATTTGATCACGATTTAAAAAACGATAGATAAATCTTATGATGGTAAAAATTCTTTGATGGTGGTTAAAGACTACGGATATGTCCTCACAATCTCCAAAGATACTAATTCTTTTTCTTATAATATTTGGATATTAGATCCTACATGTATGTTATATGTGTTCCAAGAAAGAATATTTTAATAAGTTTTAATGAAAAATATTAACGTCATGTCTCTTGGTAGTATGTTGTCTTATGGTGTTATGAGTCTCAAAATAGTAAAAATCAAAATGTTTGATGAAAAAATTTATACTTTATATGGCGTGGTTTATGTCTTAAGATGTGTAGGAATTTGATATCATTGAGCCAATTAGACTCCAAGTGATATAAGTTTTTTGTTGTAGGTGAAGTTTTGAAAATTATACCTTATGAGACAATCCCGATGGAAGAAGAAACGTAAAATGGTTTATAACATCTTATTAGAAATACAATTATCTCGATGAATGATTGAAAATAAAAAGCATATGATAATAGTGACCTAAAAAGAGTATATTTGGTGATTAGTAAATAAACACGAATTATGTATTATCAAGTTTCGGAAAAGCATAAAGGGAGAGTTCTTGCCGAGAGAGATGATGGATCGTGGTCTCTCTCTAGAGTCAACTCGTAAAGTTAACTTGAAGCAACTCGTGTATAGGCAATGGTTGTATTTTTCAGTCGGATAGAATTCAAAATTATTTATTGATATAAATTACGTGTAACTAGTAAATTTTGAGGTCAATTGTTATTTTTATTTTTTGTTTTGCAGTATTTGCAAATAAATGGAGTCAATAAATCTTCTAAAAGGCTGAAAATTCGCCAAAATGGAGATTTGTTGGTGATGTGGCTCATTGTTTCCTTATAGTGGCTAACTAAATAGAGTGACGATCGAGGAAGAGTGGAATAACCTCCAAAATTTCTAAACTTGATTATCAAATTTGTTCCTTCCTTGTTCTAGTGTTCTGTCCATTATAATTTATAAGTAGATAAGAACTAAGTGGTTTTAGAATGCTAAAAAACTAAAGGTTGAGAGGTTTTTTTGGGTATGAGAATAGGTTTAAAAGGTGCTTTAAGATTGAATTTTAGATATAAAAACAAAAATTATATTCTTAAAAGAACTTTCTTTCATAGTAGAAAAAGGTTACTCTTAAATATGTAGAATATTTAGAATTATACCAAATCAACTTTTATTTTGTGTGTATTCATCTTTATTATTTTTCTTTTCAATAAATTAGATTCTTTATGATGATATATGTTGAATCTTGATCCCTAATTTCTTATTAAAATAAAAGGTATTACAAAAAAAACTAAAGTAAAACGACACTATATGAAAAATGTTCACTAAGACTTATTCACACTATTTATCCGGACTCGGATAAGCTATTTCTTTTACCATGCTCGCAACATTTTTGTAGTTTTTAAACATTTTTAAAATATTTATTATGAAGGTTTTTGTTATATTACATTTTGATCTCTCTTTTTTAAAAAAATTTTATTTGATTTTGATCTCTCTTTTTTGTTTCTTTTGGTCACTTTGGTCCTTTTTTTTATTTTTTAATAAAAAATTTTAAGGTAAAAAATATTTTTTAAAAATAATTTACAAATTAAGTTTTTAGTTAAGAATCAATTGATTTTGACATTTTTTATACTATTATAAATTTTTTAGTTTGTGGATAAAGATAAATAAATAATATTTTTTAATAAAAATTTATGAAAAATATAAAGAATAACAAGTCAAATACAAAATTTTGATTAAAAAAATTATAAAATTAAAATTGAATGAATTTTTATTCAATTTTAATTTGATATATTTTAGTATATGTATAATATAACATGAAACATTAAAAAAAAATAATTAAAATAATTATATGTTTTATCCGATTACAAGATATGCTAAATGAAAACGGGAAAGTTCTGTAGCACTTTCCTTATTCATTTACTGTTCCGCCTCCCCTCTTTTTTTCTTTTTTTTTCTTTGCTTTGTTTCTCTTGTTGTGTTTTTCAAACCCCTCTTTTGGCTTTTACTTTTTATTTTAGTCCTTGATTTGTAATTTTTTTTTGTTTTGATCATTAACATTTTATTATATTTGATTTTCATCCCTATAATAAATATAAAAATTTTATTATATTTGATTTATGTCCCTATAATAAATATTAAAATTTTATTATATTTGATTTTTATCCCTATAATAAATATTTTTTTTGGCTTTTAGTAAAAATTTATGTCCTTTTTTTGTTCCTATTTTGTGATATGTTTTTATTGTAGTCATTAAAGTTTTATCATGTTTGATTTTTACCATGTTTTTGCTTTTAGCGAAACTTTTCTTTCTATTATAATTCCTATTTTGTGATTTTTTCTTTGTTTTGACAATTGAATTTAGTAGAATTTTATTTTTCTTTTAGTCTCTGTTTTGTAATTGTTTTTTATTTTGGTTATTAAATTTTTATTATATTTGATTTTTTTCCTACGAGGAACTATTTTTTACTTTTAGTAAAAAATTTTTGTTATATTTTGATTTTTATTTTGTGATCTTTCTTTTATTTTGATCATTAAAGTTTTATTATATTTGATCATTATTCTTTCTACATTAAAATTAAATACAAGTTCACTATTCTAAGTTTTTTTTTTGGCTTTTAGCAAAAAAATATTTTCCGTTTTAGTTCTTATTTTATGAATTTTTTTTATTTTGATCATTAAAATTCTATTATGTTTTACTTTTATTTATGCCTAATGAATTTTCTTTAGTCTTATTGTTTATAATTTTTTTTTGTTTTTTTTTTTTTTGCTTTTAGTGAATTTTTTATTTATTTTATGATCTTTACTTTGTTTTGATCATTTAATTTTTAATGTGTGTAATTTTATCTTCTTTTTTTTTGCTAAATTCTCGATTTGATAAAGCTTTTTAATCTTTTTATCTTGGATGGTCTCTCTATCTCATTAACAAATTACAGATGAAGAATATATAATAAAAATTAATCATATAAAATTCAAAAAACTACCACATCATTAATTTAATTATTAGTTATTATACATATTTCTAATAAAATATATGTTTATATCGGGTAATATCTAATTATCAACATTATATTACTCAACTTTACATGCTTTTCTTTTAACTAACCCTCTAACAAAATATGAGATATATGTTTTGGTTTTTTTTTTTTTTTTATGTGATCATTTTAAATAACTATTTTTAAATTTTAAATTTTATATGAATAAATATATAAAAAATTTGTATAGCTCACTATGTGACAACGCACGAAATATATACTAGTTTTAACTAAAACAATTACATCGATCTCACGATAGCCAAAATGCTGATGGGTTTGATAAAAAGGATATTAATTTTACTGGGTTTATTGAGCCGACGGGCTATGTAGGCTAATGCCATTCGACGAAGAGGATTTCCAGTCTCCGACCTTCAGAAGGAGCATTCCTGGGCCGACCATTTGTTGAGCAAAGCATATATAGGGTCTGTAATGATGAAAATCGAAATCGAACATGGAGAACAAAATAGCAGATTTGTTTCCAGAGAAATACATTTATTATCCCTGCAAATTGATGTTGCTATTCTAATAATTTTAAAAACACATCTATTATTATTTTAATTTATTCAAAAGAAATTTTTGAATATTGAATTTAAAATTCAAATTCAAAAAGTCAATTAAACAATAAACCTCATTATTTCAATCTAAGCACTGTCATCTCAGTTATACTAATAGTAATTGTTAATAAATTAATTTCGACAAGTGTTAATTTAATTCACCACAAGTTACTAATTATTTTATATTTTGTTAGGTGGTTGGGCTACTCAGGGAAAAGAATTCAAGAGTTTGGCTATTCAGGAGAAGAAGCTTTTTCACTCTTCCATAGATATACACATGTATAACGTACGTATCATAACTTAGCTCCAAATGATATTTCTTTTTTTAATGACTTTAAAGAGTATACATAGTACCACAAAAAAAAAAAAAAAAGGTGAATCGCATCGTATTATTCCAATCTGAGCTCCACTAACGTCTAGTGGCTCTGGCTCAGCTTAGTACCATTTTTTTTTCTTCCGTAAATATGCAAATGCATAAAGTACAATAAAATAACATAAAATCATGAAAATTACTTGTTATTTGAAAGAATTAATATTTGACAATAAAAAATTATTTGAACTTCCTAAATCTAAATGTTTTATATAAAAATGAGTCGCATCGTACGTATATAAATAAATTTAAACCATCATGAATCTACGAACAAACAGATTGCATTATCAAATTTCAGTGATAAAATATTCAAAATTGTCAATCAAAATCAATCTCTCCCATCCAACCAAATATAATCAACAATTCTTTATTAAAAAGAAAGAAAACTACGATGAATGAACACAATAGATAGTCGACAAGCATCACATAAATTTAAATACAAAATCTAAATTTATATACATAGAAAATAATGTGATCTAATATGAAAAAGAAAATGGCTCTAGGAGATCAGTTTTGTTATGGGAGGTTAGCTTAGTAGTATATTGCTTTAACTAAACCATATTATCAGCCCTCCCCATCATCAAGATGTAAATTAAGCTAATGTGACCGGCACCATAATAAGATCTCTGTCAACATTAATCATTGAATCAATCAATCCTGAATATTCCTTGGTTTGCAAACTTATTAAACTTAGATACCTCGGATCACAAATAACAGACTGTGACAGGCAACATGCTCATTACGCATGAAGCCACAAGCATAAATTAATTATATGATAAATCCTTAAGGATATTGAATTTAAAAGAATACAACATGTGATATTATTATTTTATTCATGTCCTAACTTAACAAGTACACAAAACCACCTGGTATATCTTGGTAGCCCATCGTTTATTTATTTTAGTAAAGACGGTGCAAAAAAAAACTAAGCACAACTAAGCACAGAGCAAGGATGAGTGAGCTGCAGATGATATTAAATTGGGCAGATGGGGAATCTACTTCAATCAACCCTGTCATCATGCAGCATGCACTCGTGTATTCAATTTATTCATTTATTTTTCAATGATTATTTTCTTGCCAACTTTCTTATATCGAAATTAATTAGTCCACCTCTTGAGTTTAGTTACAAATAAAGTTATCTATATTTATACGATTCACAATATAATAACTACTAACAAAACTACACTGGACTGTTTTCGAGGTCGTCTTATTTTCGAATTATTTGTGATCTGACTGCAGTTTTTATCAAGATTAATACTTGCTTTCTATTGAAACAACTGTATTAATATTCTCCTTTATTTTCACAATCATTTAGAATTATTATAGATTGTACGTAATTTTATAGAGTTATCAGCTGAATAGAAGGTTAAGATTTGACAATTTTTATAGAAGATTTCTAGTTTAAATACTAAAATGAGTAGAGTTAGATTTAAAAATGGTTGAGATACATTCCATTACATAGCCTAAAACCCATCATCTCATTCAATAACTAATTAAAAAAAAAAGATCTTATTAACCATAGTTTTTAAGAACAACTGGAAAAGAAACAAAATGATGACATGCATGAATATCGACTGTTTCGAGAGAGAGATTCCTAAACCCTAGGCCCATTATTAAATTTTTACACTAACAATTCTCCATCATCATCAAATACGTCATATTTTTCACACACATATATAAACATATTAATGGTAATTCTACTACATAAATAATAAAAGAAGCATGCGCATGCGGTACTAACTCAATAATAGTGTTTAAACAAACAAGCTGGGGGCGGGGGCGGGGGCGTGGGAGTGGTCGTGGATCTTCACTAACTTGAGGCATGAATCTAACGAAGAAATTTATTGTATATATATATATATTTTTTTTAAAAAAAAAGAACCCTCAAGTAATGAAGGAAAACATGATGCAAGCTGGTTACCAATTATGTCAGCTATGACGTATGTGTATAGCAGGCTCTAGCCTAGGTAGATGCTTTATATGTTGTTTTTTATAATTATAATAATCCCCTTAATTAAGCTATTATAAAATTATAGAATCCGTTGATTGCTTCGTAGACGTTGTTCTTTATTTATTTTTTAATTTTGTTATGTTTTTAATATTATATATGTTGAATTTTTAATGATGATAAAGATATATTGGGTTTAAGAGTTTGTTGTTATTGATATAAGGGGTTAGTTTAGTTTTTGGATATGTATTAATTGAGAATATGGTATGTGCGATTGATGCTTTTTTATTTTTTTTCATTAAATTTAATTGAAAAAAAGGCAATTTCATTAATAACAATACTGAAAAATATCGGATATACATATAATTCGATTTATTTCAACTTTTAGTTTTTTAAATTTATATTTCATTCCTGATGGAATTTTAATTCTATTTAAATTACCCAAAATGTTTGAAAAAAATTTATTTTCTTTAAGTTATAATTCAAAATTTCCATGGAGTACTAATTTACCTAGTAATTTTTACCAGATAAAAACATCTAACCATCTCTAAATTTTAAATTATTTAAGATTGAGTCTCTAAACTTTTTAATTGATTTTAAACATATGTGAACTTTTAATTTTTCCAAATTTAACCTATTTAATGATATTTAACTATCATTTTTCTTTTACAAAATTCAATTATTGGTATTTTAAGCTGAAATTTTGCACACACATTAAAAAAAATTCAATCTATTTTTTAAAAAAGAGGAATTTTTTAAAATAAAAAACTAAATATTTTTTTTTAGCATTAAAAATATAAAAAATTGAGAAAATAGAAAATAACTCTAAAATGATTCTAAAATTTTTTAGAAGGCCCATGTAAATCTTAGTGAATAATATGAAACTATTTATGTAATTATTATTTTTTGAGATAAACGATAAAAAATTAAAAAAATGAGCTAAATCTAAAAAAAAATCAAAATTCAGGGATTTCTAAAATCAATAATAAATTTTAAGAGTTCATCTCAAGTGATTTAAGGATTAGGAATGGTTAGATTTTTTTTAGCCCTTTTTACCAATGAGAAATTTACCTACTTTTCAGAAATTCAATCCATAAAGTCCTTATTATGCTTACAGACGGAAGGTAAAAAAAAAAAAAAAAAAAGGGCCTTTTCGTTTATAGTAACAGATGACCAAACCTAAGATTGTTTGCCCTCAATGGTGTAAATAGAACTCGTGACTTGCCGATACCATCAAATTCATCTCAAGCCCATGTCAACAATTACCGATGATGGATACCCTACTCTGCGTCGAGGTCTAGTGAAATTAATTTGGTTTTCAAATCCATCCATACAACCAGAGTTCAAGAGGATTGGTTAAAAATACCCACTAATCCTTGAGGGTTCAAGGGGGTATTAATGGGTTAATTTATTATGTCGTTATCTTGGTTAAATCTAATAAAAATTGGGGATAAAATAACTTTTTGTGTGTGCATCAGTTGATTTATGAATAACTCTAAATTTTTGTAATGTAAATTATAAATTAGTCCCTCTAGTTTGTAAAAACAAATTAATTAGTCTCTCTCGTTTCAAAAACTATTATTTAATATCAAATCATTTAATATTATTTTTATTCCATAAAATCTTTTATTTTTCAATGAATCTTTTTATATATTTTTTACCTTTTTATATTTCTTGAAAAAAAATCAAAATAAATTAAAAAGGAGTAAAAAGTACTATATTATAATTAGATTTGAAAATAAAAGGACTAAATAATTAGTTTTTGAAACAAAAGAGACTAATTAATTTGTTTCTCAAAATAAGAGGGATTAATTTATAATTTACTCAATTTTTTTATGATACATGGGAAGATTAAAAAAAGATAAAAGAAAAAGAAGAAGAAGCCAATGGCTTAAATTAATATTTTCTCTCTTCCGGAAAACCATTAATGCGTGATGATGCGTATAGCATTCTTAAGCAAGTTAGCTTAATCAACTTTTGCATTTGCTATATATATATATATATTCTTTTGCCAATTGACGTTACAAACTTACACTAATTGTTATAGAACAGTTGCATTAATTATTCTTAATAGCCTTAAAATATACTTAGACAGAATCTCATGGCTTAGTAAAAAAAGAAGAAAAAAACGGTTAAGAGAATTTCTCACCTCAGCGTTTGATTGTTTTTAACATTTTAAATGATATATCGTGAAAACTAACCTGGTCAGCAAAAAATTGGGAACTAATACAGTTCGAGCAGCTAATACACCTCCTTTTGATTAAAGAGAATAGTGGTTATCAAAATAAATAAAGAGAGAATTTTTGTTTTTAGGTTGTCTTTTTGTAAGGGCTCTAGGCTCTAGACCCGAATAGGACCTAGTTGGGCCAAAGATTTAGGCGTCTCGCCATCATAAAAGAAAATTAAATAATAATTAAACAAGAAAGAAAGAAAGAAAAGAAAAGAAAAGAAAAGGAAACTCTGTCCTCTAATTTCTAAAGTTATCAACAAATAGAGTAAAAGACAAGTGGGAAAAAAACAATAATAATTCTAATTTAATCCTGTCTTATAGATATGTTGAGTAAAGACGTTATACGGGCTCAAAGGAACTAATCCTTTTCAAAGGCAATTACTAATTTGCCATGTAGGTGTGACCTCACTTGGTGTGTCCTTGGTGTGTACCTTACACCGGCCCACAAGTCACCTGAAACCCCAAAAAAACAAACGAAATCACACGAACTCCCCTTTCAAAACTTACCAGCCACAATCATGTATGGACCGTCCATATGGCCTCACCCCAAATTTTTGGCTATAAATAATCTAGAAGATCCACCGCATGCAGAAGGCAGAAGTTCCCTGTTTCAAAAAAACTGTAAAGAGGACAGCTTCGTCATATTTTAGGAATTCAATCGAGAAAGAAGAGGGGGGACAGGACAATCCTCCTTTGTTTTCTGAAAAGCTCATTGTGGTGGAGACATACATGCTCAACAAGTGGAAAGTTACCCCACCAAGAAAACGTTTAGATAGCCAGCTGGCTCTCCTTTCTTCGTCAGATGAAAGGAAGTACCACAAAATGTCATTATAAAAAGGACGAAAACTTTAGTGTTATATGCCACAGGCTTTAATTCTGGATTGTATCAAAGAATTAATTTATACGGTAGCTATAGATGTGACAGCACTTAGTGCATTATTGTGTTTCTAATAATGATGTCCAGAAACAACAGATGGAAGGCAGCTGCGGCCTCCACCTTTAGTGTAGACAGAGCATGTACCTGCGTACGAGTTAACACCTATCTCGTAACGAAAGGTGAAGATCTATTGCACTAGTTAATGCTATGGAACGTTTTGGTTCTATTTTGTTGCTTCTGCTGGATAATAATGACCATATACGTCACTAAAAAATTGTCAACTTTTAATAGCTGAAAAGCATGTCAAATCTGCTGATGGGTATATATAACTGATAAGCTTTAGAAAATACTTTCAAATATAATGCAAATGTACACTCTGTTACAGTTGGAGTTTTATGAGCATATGGTTCTTAACATTTTTTTTAATGATTTTAAACGGATAAAGATTCATTTTTAGCTTATTAGAAAGGATTACGTCATGTGCTTCATCTATCGTTCAATTTCAAATTATTATTTGTTATGTGGAGAGGGATTTCATTTTACAATAAAGGTAAAGTCGAATTAAATTGGATGTCAATTGAGACGAAATCTCTCATTCCACGATTTTAAAGGTTCATCCTCACATTGATCCAATATGTTTAAAGAAATTTAATTAAAAAAAAATTTTGGATGCTCGCTCTACGATTTAAACCTAAAAGTTGAGAAAATAAACAAATTTCTTTTAAGTTTTGATATTATACAAAACGGTAGAAAGGCTTTTAAATCTATAAACGAAGCCACGTACAATAAAAATTTAACTGAATATGATTTTTTTCCTTTGAAATCCTATGTTTTAGAATTGGCCAAAATACAACAGTTTTTTTTTTTCTCAAAAATGGGTGTACAAAATTCAATTATTTATCTGAAATTTCAATGATAAATAGGCTATTTCTTTGTTTTGGTGAAGCAGTAGAAAGCTGTTTAATCTTTTGCTTGGAACATGAAACGTGGATAAGGTTGATCCATAAATAGTGTGATATAATTGACATAAATAGATAAAATTTCAAATTTTGTTAATAAAAGCTAGATCTTTGAGAATGATTTATTTTAATGAAAAATGGTATACATAGATTGCTCATGTATGCGAAAGATTTTATTTCATGTTTACGTCACAACAGATTTAAAAAGATTTCTACTATATCTATGTCAAAACAAAAAATCAAGGTATTCTTGCAGGTGGAACTAGTCAAATGTAAAAATGCCAAGCATTTTTTCAAGAAACAAATAGTGAAATTTAGACCTCCAAATGAATATTCTACAAAGTTTGTCAACATTTCAGTAATAATTTTTTGTAGGAACTATACAAGGCGTAATGATTGCGATACAGAACCCCTGTTAAATGATTTTGATTTAATAAGAAAATTCATTCGTTATTCTAAGTTACTGTGCTAAATTGCTAATCATGCTAACATGATGCAAAATGGAGAATTACGTCCCTTGCACGCAAAAAATTGAATATTTGGCAATAGACTAGGAAGAGGTGTTCTGTGACAGACCTAATCTATCCTGAATCTACCCCTGTTAGATGAAAAAAAATGGAGAAATATTTCACTTGCACGCTTAGAATTTTAACCACATAAAGTAAATAGTGGCTAAAATGGGAGCGTTGTCGTTGATAACTTGTTTTTGTTTTTGGATGGTAAAGGGCATTCTCGAGTCTTGATGTAAGCAAGTTAAACGCATGAAACATTTTTCCTTGCTTGAACTAGGGACATTATCCAAAGCCCACGATCTTGCTCGTGCATGTTAATCATTTAACTTGTTTTTTCTTTCTCTGCATTGGCATTAAGAAAAAAAAAAATCATCATATATGCTCTTTTTTTTTTTTTTTTGATGATATCCAGAAAGTTAAGAAATCACTACAAAAAAAAAAAATAAAAAAAATAAAAAAAAAATTGGAGGTGGTTTTTTTCTCTTCTACCGCCTCTACAAAGTCTATGAATCGCCTTAAAACAGCCTTACAATGCCGCCGTCTCTAGATTGTAGATGCGGTTTTTGCAACCGCCGAGAAATTGAGAGGCGGTTGTTTTGAGGTGGTTACAACCGCCCATACAACGTAAATAAAAGGCTTTTAACAATATAATTTTATTTTGCCTTTAAATTTAATAATTTACTCCATTTTTTTATCAAAAAAAAAAAAATACACTACGTTGAATGTGAATCAATTTTTTTTTAAATAACAATTGCATCTTTTATTCATTGTATAGTATATCACGGGTAATAAATTAGTAAGAAACTAAAATACAATATTCCATCTCGTGGTGTAACATGGGCAACAAACTAATAAGAAGCTAAAATATATTCACCACAACATGGTAGTATCTTAGATAAACACTAATTCAAAACTTAATCAAAAAAGCTAAAACCCAAGTCTTCATTAGACTTTTCAGCGAGCTCTTCCTTCTTTTCCTTTTCCTTCCCAACGATGCTGAGAACCATTAGAAACAAAAGCATATTTTGACAACCTTGTATGTGCCTTTGAAAGAAATAGAAGCATACCAATGAGTTTATAAATATGAACACACACACATCATTAAAACATGCAAGTTTTGTCTGTACGGAGAAAAAGAGTAAAACATGAAACAAGAACATTTTCATTCAATTCCATGGCATATACAAGTGATCGTGAATCAAACAAAAAGGCAATAGAGAAATGAGTTATTGGCCCTAAGACATTCCAAAAAACACTATTGATGTAAGCTAACCGATTATCCGTAATGCAATAGCAAAATGGGGCATGTAGAATACTAAAAAAAACCAAGACATATGGAGAGAGCATCACGGAAACAAATGATAAAATACTCGAAATAATTCACTAAGAAGCATCCCCAGTAAGCACGTAGAGTAACAAAATTGCAAGGGAGCTTAGAAATACGAGGTGAGTGAGCCATAAAGAATTAGCTAATGGTAATAGTCCAAGTATAGTGTGGTGAAAATAGGTAAGGAGGAATGGTAATCTCCTCAAAACCATCACAACACGATCATAAAGGCATGCTCTAATGGATAAAGGGGAAAAGAAAGAAACTAGAGTATATTGAAAGAACAACTGTTGCCCATAATATTTCAAGTGTATGAGACATTTATTATCATCCATAAAATTTTTGGAACAAAAAAGCAAAGCATATAATGGTTGACATATTTGAAGTTTCCAAACATTAATGCAAGGTCGCATGCATATTCATATTCCTAAATAAATCATATAACACATTAATAGGAAATTTCCAAATCAATACGATCAAGTAAGAATCATCGAAGAATGGGTAATTGATCTAGTCATTTTGAACATGGTTCGGACTAGAAATTAGGTGATCCGTCGGTTCAAGTACATCTAGAAATAAATCCATATAATCTGGTTTGGAAAATAAGCATGCTACTAAGGAGAACGTTCCTTCACTTTTCTACTATTAGTGCCACCGTATTTTCCCATAGCTTACCAGTCATCCGAGCAATTACCAATCAAGGAGATATCGTTCGGAATAATAATGTAGAAACATGAAACCCTACGACACTAACTCGTTAGGTCGTATACTTGCAGTTGCTAATGAATCTTTAAAGCTTACCAATGGATAGACATGGTAACGGTTTGGTTTGAACCATAAACCAAATTGAAACCATTAAAATCGTAACCTTGACCAAATCGGATCGTAATCGGTTACCTATGAGTTGGTTATGATTTAATGTATCATGGAACCGTAACCGACGGTTCTAAACCGATGGTTAACCGTAGAATCGATGGTTCCGCATCTTTCCTAATAAATTTGGGTTGGAGCGAAAAAAAATGAAAAAATTTAAATAAAAAAACTAATTTTATAGAAATTGGACGAGTAGCTATTGGATCGAAAAATGAAAAAAAATTAAAACTAATAATTTTAAATTTCGGGCTTAATATATATGTGTGTGTGTGTGTGTGACCGTTTTTTTCCTATAAATACACTCTCAATTTTTTCATTCTCCTCATAACTCAATCTCTCATTCTCTCTTAAACTCTTAAGTGTAGAATTCTCAATACTTGTCCTACAATATTTTTTATACTCCAAATACTTCTTAAATTTTTTACATTTCTATTGTTTTATACTACAAAAAATGACAAGTTCAAGTTCACACATGTCATCACAACAAAGTAACACTCGTCAATCAAAATCAAGCGGAGGAGCAACAATAACAATCAAATTTTACACCTAGATCATCCGATATCTTCAAAATTCATTTCTCAAAAGTTCATTTAGAAATAGACGTTTTTACTCGTGATTTACAACTACTGCAACAAGCAATACACATTCAAACAAGGAGGTGATTATGGAACATTCAAAACCCACTTGGAGAAAAAGCATCCATCCGTACTTGGTAATAATAAACATCGAAACAAATATCCGAGTTTGCTTCTCAATCTTCCTCTTTATTTCGAGTATACTCGATAAAAAAAATAAAGAAGAAATGACTAAAATAATATGCATTGATCATTTATCTTTTAGTTTTGTTCAAAAAATGATTTTAGTGATTATTGTTCTAACGCTTTGAATCTCGCTTTCAAACAAGTTGAAAGACATTCTTTAAAAAAACGAGTTATAAAATTATATAGAGATAAAAAAAGAATTAAGCTGTATTATTTACAAATTTGAATGGTCGTGTTTTTATATGTTCGATATATGGTCCGATCAATGGCAAACTCACTCATTTATGGGTGTAACTTGTCATTGGATTGATAATAAATGGCACATGCAAAAACATCTTCTTGCATATAGAGTTTTTGATGATAAACATACCGCTCAAAATATATATAAGATACTAAAAAGAATTTTAGATTAATATGTTTTACCTTTAAAAATATTTTCAATTTCTTTTGATAATGCTAGTTCTAATGATGCTTCGGTAGATTATTTAAAAGAACTTTGTCAACTCCATCTTGGAGGTAATTTTTTTCATATTAGATGTGTATGTCATGTTTTAAATTTATGTACGCAATCTGGTTTGGAATATCTTAAAGATATTGTTAGGCCAACTAAAGCTCTTGCTAAATATTTATGGACGCATCCCCAAAAGATGAAATCATGAGGAAAGTTTTGCAAAGAAATAAACAAAAAACCAAGACGAT